TACCCGGCCTGGTTATGACGTTCACACTTCGCCATGGTTAAGCCAAGGCCCATATAGAAATAGATGGTTTACCGAACTTAATAGCATGGTGATTTTCCATGGCGAACTGTGAATGTCATAACCAGATGGTACCTATTGGAGTATAATTGACCAAATAGCATCAACTAAACTCAAACTCCTAATGTCAAGCGAAGAAACACAGCGGAAAAACACCACTTGTGTTCTGCATGGTTCAGCATGGTTTGATATGTGCGTGCAGTGAGAAAAACAAAATCATCTTGAACTATGCAGACAGTTGTATGCCAAAAATCGCCAGGTCTACCAAGAAGTGATGACTCAAATCACCAGCCGAAGTGATAGGCGCTGGGTGCCCGTGTTGGGATTTACGTCGATGAATTCAATCCATCGGAAGCTTCAGACATGATAGCCTCTGGTAAACAGCCACATAATCAATGGCCATTTCAGGATCCTAAATTGGAGGTACCTACCATATGTAAGGCCTATGTAAGGCCTATGTTTCAGGGAATATCCCCACAAAATATGGCCTTATATGGTACAGTACCTCCAATTTAGGATCCTGGAATTTCCATTGAATGGAAAGATCCACCATTTTACCATGCTATCAATGGGGATTCATCCACGATTTCGACTGGGCCATGGCTTCAATAGCTATGTAACACAAATTACCAGAGGCCCCTGTCATTATTCACCTTCATTGAAAATTCTGTGAACTGCCGAATGGATCACCATTGTCGCGCGATTTCACCGAGCACCCCAGTCACCCAGTCCCTGGTTTCTTGATGTTTCTTGCAACTGAGATAACTGAGGTAACTTGAATATCACTCCAAGTCCAAACCATGACCTAGTTGTATTAAGATAAATCATCCAAAAAAAACGACATTTATATATATATGCATGTATATTTATATATTTATACATATATATATTTAAATTAGTCATTTTTAGATTCCCCATGTTGCCGCGATGCCGTTTCTCACCATCCCCACAAGGATCTCCCTGAGCGATTTCGCCAAGTACTACGAACATCTTTCCGCAGGGCGCGGTGTCTGATCTCGCTGTTTCAACGGGGGATTTCCATGGATTCAGCACAAGAATTTCAGAAAACATTCACCATGGATCCATATCCCCCAATAAACTATGATGATATGGATGTTATGTTTTGTTTTCTATATATAGAACATCATTTATGCACATATCTATAGATTTGATGTGTTCTTTTAGATATGAAGTTCTATCATGCATGGATATCCCAATAAATTGACGAAATTGCAACCAACGTTCGACTCTCCCGGACTGTGTTGGGTGACCTGCAGTGGGCGACTGAAGCGAACCATGGGAATTATGAACTATCCATAGCCATCATATGTAATGGGATACAATGGAATGTCACTATCAATATCAATCATGATGGAATTATGAACTAACCATCATTAATATCATTGAATTATGGAATATAACTAACCCATCAATACACGGAATAGATATTCACCAAGCGATATTTCATGTGGGGAAACCGGGTATAACTTTAAAATGGCTCACCTGAATCAGCCGCCGAGTGTCCGAAAATCATGGAGGAGGAGGCAGAAACCATCGAAAACAACTAATGACCAACTTCTTTGTTGAGGAAATTCCACTGATTAGGCCACTAGTTCTACGATGATAGGAATCGTCATAGACGAAATCGATCCAGATTCATCCTAATTGGGTATGGATCAATACCTATTAATACCATTTTTAGGGGAATGAACATCCATTTACCAGCTATTTTGATGTGAACTACAGGGGTACTATTGGTTTTGACACACTGCCAATTGGTGTTTGAACTCCAGGTGGGCTCAGTATCTGATTCTGCGCAGGATCCAAGACGACAAGTATTTCAGCCACATTCTGCGTCGCAGTTGGGGTGTTTGGGCGCCGAGGTTTTTCGCAGTTTTTTTGCTGGGAAGCAAACAAAAATGGGATGGGAAGCCAATATGGAATCAACTGGATTCTCAATCCAGCCACTTTTGTTGTGTTCCAATTCCATAATTCAATGGAATTATGAAGTAACCATCATTAATATCATTGATTTATGGAATATAACTAATTATCACCATCCAATTTTGTGTTTTTTCACATCCAATTCCCCTGTAAATTCGGTGTTGGGGCAACGATCAAAGTCGGCAAAGTCGTCGCCTAAACATTGGCGACGACTATCGACACATACCAAAGCATGCTTGCAAAACCAGAAAACCAACTGGTAACCGGCCAATATCATGAGATCTTGATTACAAAGTCCAGTTTGCCATCCCAACTGCTAGACTTATTTTCCTGCGTGTTGTTTGAACCTCGTCAATGTCAATCAGCACTTCCTGCTTTGTGAGACTACCTGAAATCTTGCAAAGAGCTCCAGGCCTATTCTCGTGTGACATGATCTTATAAGCAACATTCAGGCTGTATAGTCATACTTTATATTTATTTATTCAGATATATATATATACATATATATATAAATACGCATTATGCGTATATATACCTCGAAAGGACACAAATAATTGTCCGTTTGCAAGATTTCTGCCCTTAGGGCGGATTTCTTGTGAAGGAGCTGGAAATGGTCATTTTTTGACTACTGTGGCCAATTTTGGATGTCGTGCCTTTTGGGCTGATCTTACTCTACTTTGCGTAAAAATGTGTCGATTTTTCTGGGTGGAAATTATCGGGAAAAAGGCGGAAATACCCGGGAAAAGAGCGGAAATACCCGGGCAGATTCATCATGACTCAAAAATGAAAACATAAAAAGAAAAAACATGAAGTGGCAAGTTTTTTTCTTGAAATGGTCATGTTTATTTTGAAATGGGCAAATCTACAGAAAATGGACAGAAATCAAACCAAAATCTGCCCTGGAAAGAAATTTGTAACCAATGAATATCCAGGATATATATGGATATATATATATATATAATATATACATATTTGTTCAATCTCCGAGCTGGGTCGGAACATGGGAGACCTGTACGCCATATGTTTTGTCATGTTTTGTCCATTCGAAGAGTTCGGAAAGTTTTTGGGATCCATGATGAAAGTTTGTGACATGTCGTGCCTCAGTTGGCCACTACACCTGGAAACATCATGGCACGCAACGCGTTCGGTGCCCCAGGTCATATGGAGGTTTCATTTTGAGGATTTTAATAGGATGTTCGATGAAAAAAAACATTTTGAGGATTTTTGGGGTTCCATTTATGGAAAGCTCCATATCTTGGGGGATCCCTTGGCTGAAAAGTCCCAACTGTACCTGACTTGACCGTTTTGCCAGCTTCGAATGATGAAAACGAGCAGTTTTAGCTGCCCCAGAGCCATCAAACTTGTTCTACGGCTTGAAGGATAGGAAAGGTCTGTGCGGTTGGATAGTCCTGTCTACATCTCAGATGATATCAAACTACAGAAAACTACACTACTGTTGGAAGTGATCAGTGAATTCCGTTCTTATCCTGAGATATCCCGAAAACTGTTTGCTGCAATTGGTGCACGGTCGGTCATGCCATGCCACTGTGCAATCTGAATCCCTGTGATCGACTGAGGCATCGCATGTATGAAGGTCACATCCGTTCAACGGAGGGTGGCTTGTGCGGTTTGTGATGTCAATGTCTGGCTGGGCTTCAAAGGTGGTCAAGTTCCACTTACCGCAAAAACCATTACCCTCTGGTAATGACTAACAGTTTGCGACATTGAAAATGGCCCAGTCGAAATAGTGGATTTTTATGGTGGTTTTCCATAGCTATGTTAGTCATTACCAGAGGGTATCCCAATTCATCAATATCCGGAGATGGCATAGTTACCATAGTTTGAGACCAGCCAGCTTGTGATCCAAGTTGTTGTTTTTTAGTTTTTCTCCAGTAGAGTCCCGTGTGAAAAGTTGCATCAAATTGCTGGCAGCGTCAATATCGACATGCTGCATATGCTGTGGCTGCGAAACTGCGAAGTGTCTGCTGGATATGTACCCGGCCTGGTAAACCGTCCCAAAAAACAATGGAAAGATCCACCATGCTATCAATGGGTAAATCCACTATTTCGACTGGGTCATGTTCAATAGCTATGTTAGTCATTACCAGAGGGTCTGTATGATGTATGGCCCAAGACAGGTGTAGCTCACAGGATTGAAGTATCGATGCTGACTGCTCTTTCCTTTTGGTCAAAGAGATGGCGCTGGGATTCTTGTGCATTGACCAAAATGAGATGTGCATGACAGAGAAAATGTTAAGCATCTGTCGGCCAATTGCCAAAGAATGTTCAAGTGTGGTTTTGCAGTTGTAAAACTCAATCATCTCTTGATTGTCTTGTGTATTGTCAAAATCTATGATCTTCACAGCAGCACGTTACTGGCAACCCTGGAAAATCCACCTCGTGTTTCGCTGTCCAATTCGCCCGAATTTCTTGTGGCGCGGTGTGCCGGATGGTGCCTGTACAGTGCAAGCGAAGCGCCGGTATTGAGGTGAAAGAGAAGTGCAGAAAGAGCCCAAGTTGATCCCATTCGTATGATAAACAAGTTGCAGAGCATGATGGTGAGACTGGATCAGCCTTTGTTTTTATATGTTGGCACCCACCAAAGTGACAGTTTGAGAATTCACATCCTTCAAACGGTAACGGCAGACATGTCGATCATGTCGCAGTCGCGAAGAAACAAAACTAGTAGTTCGAGTAGAGTAGTTATCAGTTGGAGGACCTACACAGAAGTACTGTTTGATGAAACCCAAGCAACAGGAGAGATGAGCAATATAGATCTATTTGTTTGTAAACATGCTAGGGCGTTGCGTGATGCTTTTAATTCGCACTTAGTGATCCATACGATCTACTTCCTCAAATTTGAGCTGATAGTTGACTCAGTTGACAGTTGACATTCTCAGCAGTATGTACAAAATTGTACAAACATGTCGTGTAAAAAGTGCTGAAAGTTCCATTTAAGTGTGAATTCATGGACCACTGGCATGGGAGAATAGCGTGCCATGACCCGGCCAAAGACTTCCGATGTGGTGGAGGCGGAAAGTAAGCTTCACCGGCAGTGAACCACAGTTTCCGGATGTGCTTTTGTTGAACACCAGCCGGATGATGCGGATATATGGGTCATTATGGGTCTCTACATTCAAATATTATTGCTTGCTTCAGGCAACTGTTCCTTACCTCACTGGATGATTGAGGCTTCAATGGATCTGTAGAGACACAACTGAGGTTAGAGGTTCATTCTTCCCATTGGGCGGAGATAGGAAAGTCAGTCGACTCACCGAAGGGGCAAGAAATTCGGCCAAAGGGGAAGTGGTGACACATGGTGACCCATATTACCCTCTGGTAATTTAACATAGCTATGGAAAATCACCATTTTTAATGGGAAAACTCACTATAAATGGCCATTTTCAATAGCTATGTTAAATTACCAGAGGGTATCCAAGAGATTCCGTCGCCAGATTCAGTGCCGCTCGCCAGGTCTATCCCGGGTCTTGCCTCCTGGCGGCTAAGGCTTCCATCGACAGCGCAGGCTGATTGGTCGATTGGCTGAACCTTCCATTGAGTCTGTATAATGTACCCTCCAGTAGATTAACATAGGCCCTGCCAGGGCCTAGGGGTTGGAAGATGAGTTTCCACTAAAAGCTGGTTATGTTCAGGGACTATGTTAAAATTACCAGATGGTAACCATTTATAACAGCTATACTGACATCTTTTTTCATCTTCGTGTGAAGCGGGCATGTTCACTAGTGCCAGCAGTGCGCGAGCAGATTTTTTTCGCCCTAGTCAGACGACAAAAGACCGCTTTAGTATTTAGGGAAGCAATGTTTTGAGGGGAAGCATATATACATAATACATATGTATCATACATGATACAATACACATATACATGTAATACATTGTAATACAATATATTAATGTACATATGAAAACTCCCCATAATCAAGATGCAAAGTCAAGTGAAATCCCCGTGAAATAGTGAGTTTTATCATGATAAAACATGTGTCTATCTTTTTTGGGGCTTACTATCTATGTATATATATGTATGTGTGTATACATATATTATATATATATTAATGTGTGTGTTTCTTTACTGGACCTTGAGCTGCAAGACCTGCCAGGACTTTTTGCTGCTCAAGGTGGGGGTTGAGCGGAAGCGATGAAATGAAGGGCTTGTGCTGGTTGATTGGGGCTTATTATAACAATCTATATATATGATTTATAAGCCATTGTTCCAGTACATAAACATAACATAAACTGTATCATTGCTTATTGTAACCGTTTATATGTGATTTATAAGCTAATAAAGCCATGATAGGGATACTTTTATACGAAAAAAATGGTGTTTCAATGTGTTTCATCTCATGGGATCAGAACATGACATGGCCAGGTGATGCTAGTGGGGCACGGTCCCCATCAGTGTGGTACCTCAAGGGAGCGTTACTGTGACTTAAATAGAGAGTAGCCCTAAGAATTGATCTATTTGCTGGAGTTTGCTGGAGTTTGCTAGTGGCCATAAAACTCAATCGACTATGCGTATCAATTAATCACATTTAGTCACATTTAATCACCGACTTGTCAAAAAGACTTCCACGTCTCCACGTCTTGAGACGTTGCATGGGATGGCCTGTGATACACAGCTCCCACGGAGACCCAGGTGCTGCAACAGATCCCAGAGGCAAGGACTGGCCAGGTCAAGAAGATTCAAAACAAACACATCTATAGTATTGTGTGTATATGTATATGTATGTATATATATATATATTATGTGGGTACCCATATGTTCACACATCTTCGGAGATGTTCAGATGTGCCAAAGACACAGTCAGATTCAACTGCGATTGGAACAGGTCAAAAGAGATCGTTTTGATGGCAGTGACAGGAAGACAATGGCATGTCCTTGCTGGCTTTCTCTGAGGCCATTTCTGTGAGACGGATTTCGATCACCTGAGTTGGGAAGAGAAACTTCCCAGAACTTGAGCCACCCATTCTGATCACTTCCGCCGGCTAAAACTTTGGAAAACGGAACGGTGACGCCGGTGACGCCGACGCCACGAGGTTTCTCCCTTGGCACTGGCGACGTATTGCGATGCTTTGGCCAACTGCCAGGTGGGACGAGAGCAGCTTTCCGGCACCTGGGGTTACCTGGTCCAAGTCGTCAAGTTCGCTGAGAAGTAGCTGCTAAGTAGCGAAGTCCCGGGCTGAATAGAGTTTGAGTAGAGCAAAGTAGCGTAGAGTAGACTGGAGTAGAGAAGAGGTGAGGAGGTGTAGAAGAGATTTAGAAGAGATTTAGAAGAGGTAAGAAGGTCGGCGACATGAAACTGCATGGTGGGAGCCTGATGGTCATCGCAAATAGGACCACCAGTCAAGTGATTCAAGATGATTCAAGACCAGATACCACATATCAATCTGCTACTGAATCGGTGAAACGTCCAGAATTTAAAATCCCCACTGAAAAGGCACACGTCCCCAGATTTCACCCGAGTAGAAAGGCTGTGGCACACGAAGAAAAAGGCTCTACCATCTCTGTAGATGTTTACCAGTCTACCATCCTTGGAATAAGTGTCCACAACCAATTGGTTTTTCATGGTTTTTCCAAGTATATGAAGTATATGCTTCAGTCGTCAAGTTGACTTCAGTCGTCAAGGCGGTGTTGATAACAGTGCAGCCGCGGGAGAGCCAAGCCAACGGTGACCTTAAAGACCCATTGGTGACGCTGCGATCTAACTATCTCGGTGGCTCAACTGACCTTTTTTGGTACCTTGAAGAATTGGTTGGTTCATGGGCACCAACTACCCTCTGGTAAACTAACATAGCTATGGAAAATCACCATTTGCAATGGGTAAATCCACTATAAATCACCATTTTCAATAGCTATGTTAGTTTACCAGAGGGTAGATGATACTTGCACGGACTTGCAATGGGAAAAAAAAATCGTGGTTGGGGTTTCCATACCACTTGAGGCACACTTCAACTGTCCAGCCCAATGGCTCACTGCAGTGCAAATTTCCCAAGACACATGTCCTGTTGGAAGCTTGTCAACAGGGCTTTCAACTGTGACCCTGGATGTCACCCACTACTTTCGAAGTGATTTGGACGCATCAACGAAATAGGAATCGAGCATTGACCATAACCAGGACCACAACCTCGCCAATGCCTTGTGCTTGGCATATTCCAATCAAACGGGGCCAGAGGAATAGCCGGTGCCTTTGGAATTCCTCACTGATTTTGGAGTGGCCTACCTGTTTCTACCTCAAGAACAGAATGATGAATGCACGGAATCTTTTGCAAGATATAGCAAACTCTTGTGAAAACAACTCCGACTTTCCATTCCTTTCCAATTCGTCTTTTCGGCTCAGCTTAGCATCAAACGCCCGCGCGACGCAATCCTCCAGCCATGGCGGCACCTGCCTCTGAAGCTTGACCGGCAATCTCTCTGGGGCAGAGCTGTGAAACCCCGCAGGCATCGCGATTTTTGAGCGTAAAGCGATGGCTTGTTATGGCTTGTTGGCCCCTGGCATATGGGCCTAAAACATGTTCGGGCCTAAAGCGTCTGTATTGGAGATCTAGCGATTCTCTATGATTCTCTGACAGTCCAGGAGGAATATGCTGACAGGAGGTTTGATTGGTCAGTTATGGTCAGTTTGTCGTTGTGAAATGAGGTGTTTCATAGTACAGCTGTGAGCCGACAGAGACTGAGGAAACCTTGAAGATTTCCGATGGCAGCACTATGGTTTGTACCCCAGCACAGAAAAATTCCCACCAGTATTCAGCACGGTTATCTTGTCTTGCAGCGATGGTGTGTCGATGCATCATTTCTATGGCAAATCTTGTCATTACATGTCATTACTCCAAGTGAAAGGACCCAAGATGAATCCTTCTCTCTGTGGAATATGCCTTTGTAGTTTGCTTGCTATTTTTCAGCACAGCCGAAGCATGTTGAACCAGTTGCATCAGACAACATGTAAAAATCAGCGATCAGCTGGTCCTGATGAAAGATTGTCATTTTGTCTCAGGAAATCACGCGTTTGCCGGACATTGATGATGCCACATGGGCCGAGGCAAGCTATCTATAGAATCTATAGCTATCTCAAGATTCGTCACAATTTCCAGCGATTTCCTCCGAGATGATCCTACGGTCCTACAAAAATGGTGGCATTTTTGGTGACAGCCGTGCTGATCCCGGTCCTTGGGACTGGTCCCAGCTGTGGGTCCCGGCCCAGGTGAAGCAGTATGTGCAGAGTCAGTTGCCTCAGGACCCAAGGTTCTGGATGTGATGGATGTGGCATGAGAAACATTGAGAAACAACACATTAGAATATGTAACGAATATACCATGTCTATGAATATCCAGACTCTGAAAAAAAGATCTCCGAATATCTTCAAATATCTTCAATCTTCATGAGGATGGGAAAGGGATCGGAGCTTCTTGGAGCTTCTTGCAGCTGGCAAAATCGAGGCAATCCGGACACGGCAAAGTCCTTACAGGGTTTCGCCAAGAATCCGGAGGCCAGGAGGGAATGGCCAGTCACTGTCAAGGCTAAAGTTGAGCATCCAGTTGCCTTATGTTCACAAAACCCATCAAAAACCCATAAAAAATGCTGTTGTTAAGATAGAAAGAAAGATCCATGAAGATCCTCGATCCTTGTTATATTGTAGCACCGGGCTGACTTGCAGTCGTCGGAAAAAAGTGTGGGAACATCATGTTGGAACCGCTGTCATCTCAGGGTACCCCAAATTCCAATGGAGTATTCCATGGTTTCCCGATTGAAACAACACTTTTTAAGGAGTCTAGACCCGATTTTTTTTTACAGATCCCAATCAAATGGTTCAAAAAATTATTCAAAAATCGCCGGAAAGTAGCACCTGCAACATGCAGCTCGCCTGCAGGTACCCATGGTACCCATGTTTGTGCCCACTGACAATGACAATGGGCATCCTATGAGTATAGTCTGTGAGGTAACATCCAAATCAACACAAGTATCGCGATGATATCGGGATGCTTTGAGCTTTTCTGAAACAGGGCTCCCGAATGGTCCCGATGAAAGTGACTGTATCCTATCTGTATTATGAACTGTATAACCAAAAAACATCAATCACATTAATCACATCAATCGCTGAATTGATTGAACTCAAAGATTCGAGAATTGCCACAGCTGATCTTGGGTAATCCAGGGGCTGGTGAGAATTTTTCGCCGAATCCAATGAGTCAGGCCATGCGAGGTTGGTTGCAGACACAGGCCATCGCAGAGCATTACAACGCGCCATGAACCCAGCGGCGAGCGAAGAATCTGCGGTTTTGTGGACCCAAGAATCGGTAAATCCATTGGTGAATCATCACGAAAAAACCATGGGGTTTTTGCAGCGTTTTCAACGACGTTTTTCACATCCAAAATGGAAGGACTTTGGAGGCCAGTACTTGTGAGGTCGCAGAATGGACTTTTGGTCACCAGTCACCCCCGAGAAATCCAAAAAGTGTGCCATGAAAGGTGCTGAACAGAAATTCAAGCCGGTTTCCAGTTGTTTATCTCAGGATTGAATCAGAACAGCAAGAGCGGGGAATGTATGTCTAGAAAAGGGGCTACCTTTTCTTAGCGATACTAAACCGTGGGTTATTTGTGGGTGCTGTAGAAAGGCTGTTTCGTAGGACAGGCTTCTCAGTTCGTCATTCCCAGGAAGCTTGCCACCGGGGATGCTCCTGTGCAGGAGACCAGACATTGAAAGAGGGCATGACCTGTGTGTCACAGTGTTTCCATTGCACATAATGTCAACCCCGGATGAGACTAAACCATGGTTTATTAATTAGGGGGGTCCCCAAATAGTCATGTCATCTGATACTTACTTAAATGGTATCCCCCCAATTAAACAACCGTAAACGGGGTTTATTCATCCAGGGTTGACTAGTAGAAAAACCATCTGCTGTCAGCTACTCTTCGCAGTAATGCCGTGGCGAGTGACAACATCTTTCCATGGGACTGCTGAGGCCTAGAGGCCTAGATCTCTGGAATTCTTCATCCTGCCAGTTTATGCCTGTCACAAAACAATAATGGTCATTAATGGTGATTAATAGTGATTAATGGTCATTAGTGAACACTTTTCCAAGACCAATTCACAATCATTCGGGAGAAAATGACTCATCGGCGACCATAGCAATCGATCAGGGTCAGTGCAGTAAATGCCCTTGGGCTTCAACCGATTCCTTTGATGAAACCCGATGAAAACTTGAGGGAACCAAAAAAATGTGTTTGACAAACGACGCGGCCCATTCTCATCCATTCTCACAGTTCCATGTTCCACCCCTATTAGGTGTAGAACCCCTTTTCAACATTGCGAAAGCCCACGGTTTCATCAGCAATGGAAATCTTTGGTGCCTGGTTACCTATGACGCAGGTAAGTGGGCCAGTTCCCAAAAATCGTAACTGGACAGGTTTGGAATGCAACCACTTGAAAGGGTGACATGTTCTAAATCCAATCATAAATATCACAAATCATCCATCATCCCCAAGAACTTGAGGTTTATGAAATTGGGATTTTTCTTGGGTGTACCATGGTGTACCGCTACGATTGGGATGATCCACCTGTCAGGACAAAGTGAAGTCGCTCGAGCATGATCCAGAATTACAGACCATGTTCGAGGCGAGGGTTCTGCGCGAAGCCGGGAGAGCCCGGGAGGTTCTGAAGATAGCTTGAAAAACGTTGAAAAACAGCTGAAAGATGTTGAAAAACAACTGAAAGATGATAAACATGCTGAAACATGCTGAGTTTGTAGCAGGATCTCCATTTTTGTTGCAATTGTTGGGGAGCTGTTCATGGAGAGCCGACCTGAATTTGCATTGCTGCACCATGACGGTATTTTTGTTCCTAATTATATACGCTGATAAATGCACCTTGGAAAAACCATGTGGCATACTATCCAGCCTATGAGACGAGTAAATGAAACTTTGCACTAGGAGTATAACTGCTTGATGAATTTCTGATGAGCAGATGTTTGCAATTCCAACTCTGACCTTGATGCAGGATATCCGGAAGAATGGCATGGAAGCTGCATTGAAATACTACCAGGACTCAAAGATAGACAAAGTCCGCGTGGATATGTTCCATGATAGTTTTTTTCTGACATATAACTGGTTTTATATGGTTTCGATGTGGTTTCTGTTTGGCTTCTATGTGGTTTCTATTCCGGAGAGCGCCTGAGCCAAGGGTTCTTCAGAAGAATCAGGTCGGCTATACATTTGCACATCTTACATTGCACATCCTCACATCTTACATCTGTACATGTTACATTTGCACATCCCACATCCTCACACCTCTCATTTGTACATCCCGCATCCTGGCATCTTACATCTTCACATGATTGAAATGCAAATTTAACATCCTCACATCTTAAAAACTGCACATCTCACATCTTCTCATCTTCACATGTTTCACATGCACATCTTACATCTTCACATGTTCTTCACATGTTACATCTGCACATCTCGCATCCTGACATCTTACAACTGTACATTTTACATCTTGACATCTTGCATCTTCACATGCTCACATGTTCATATCTCACATCTTCGCATTTCTCATCTTCACATCGTACGTCTTCACATCTTACATCTTCACATTGTTCAATTTACATCTGCATATCTCACATCTTCTCTCTCCTTCTCTCTCCTTCTCTCTTCTCTCTCTCTTCTCTCTCTCTTCTTCTCTCTTCTTCTCTCTTCTTCTCTCTTCTTCTCTCTTCTTCTTTCTTCTTCTTCTCTCTCTCTCTCTCTCTATCTCTCTCTCTCTCTCTCCCTTTTTGTCTCTTCCATCAAATTCTCTCTTCTTTCTGGAGGCAAGGGGTGTTGCCGACAGGGCTCCACGAAACGTAACCTTTTTGCACGAAATGAAGGTCAAGTGCCAATAAATGGGGTCCTTTCGAACAAAATGATGGTCAAGCGTCAAAAACTAAACTAAGATTAAAATGCTATTTTGAAAGGCCGGCTGCAACCCTGTCGCTGTGTGGGAGCATCTGTGTGCAAAAGCTGCTCTGTGAAAAGGTTTCTCGGAGCAAAAACTTCTGTCTGTACAAGCTTTTGTGTGTAAGTGCGTCTGTTTGTTGCAGCTTCTGTGTGGAAAAACTACTCTGTGAAAAGTTTCTCTGTGCAAAATCGTGTGTTTGTAAAAGTTTTTGTGTGTAAAAGCTGCTCTGTGTAAAGGCGTCCATGTGTAAAAGTTTCTGTGTGTAAAACCGTCTCTGTGTAAAAGCCTCCGGGTGTAAAAGCCTCTGTGTGCAAAGGTTTCTCTGTGTGAAAGCTGCTCTGTGTGAAAGCTGGCCTGTAGCGGCGAAGGTCTGTGTATGTGTTCACATGTGTATGCCAGTATATTTGTGTACGTTGTATAGGTGTGTGTGTGTGTACGTATAGCGTTGCTGCGATTTTGCGTAGAATGTCGGTTTGTCGTTCTGAGCATCTCCTTCTTACATACTACTTAAATTCAGATCATTCATCATAATAGTCTAACATTCACCTGAGAACTTATACTCGTTTGCGCTCTCGGGCCAGCCGTCCTCTAGTGTTTTTTCCATGTTTCTATCTGGTTTCCTCTAGTGGTTTCTATGTGGTTTTTGGATGTGCTTTCCCTGTGAGTTCGATATATGCAGCTTGGCGGGTGGGTTGATGATCCTTAGCAGTTGTTTTTACCACAGCACCTCCAAAATGTGGTGTCAGAATTCGAAGAACTTGCAATGTATTTTTCCATATGCGCAAGTCCAGATGTGTGATTCATTAAAGCTGACATGTATTTGAGTTCTCTCAGCGATTTCTTTGCGAAATATGTTGCGACCTTGTAACATCCACGGAGGAAAAAATCAATCACAGTTGAACATCAGTTGAACATACTTCATATATACATCACATATATCTTCATATATCTTCATATTGCAGTGGACAATAGACATATAGACATCGACATCAATGGAGGCGGCCGACCTGATAGGATGAGGAGCTGATGCAGAAGATCTCTCAGAAGATGGGAGGTTGCGGCATTGATGGATGGGAAGCTGAAGCAAGGTGACTCTACCCTCTGGTTATGTCAAAATAGCTATTGAAAATGGCCATTTATAGTTGATTCACCCATTGAAAATGGTGATTTTCCATAGTTTCTTGTATGTTTACCAGAGGGTAGATGTTTTCTGGATGTTTCTAGATGTTTCCCGGATTCTTTTGGGCACAAGATGGGCACCACCTGGTGGGTCTCCGTCGCCCTTTGCGGGCAGGTCTCCCTGCTGATCTCCAACCTGTGTTGAAAAAGATTGAGGACAGCGGTGGGGCTGGAGGATCAATGTACTTTGTCAAATCGGCTGGAAGTTGCTGGTTCTGGGCCATACCCTCTGGTAAACAGTCCCAAAAAACTATGGAAAATCACCATTTTTAATGGGTAAATCCACTATTTCTATGGCGATTGTCAATAGCAAACTATTAGTCATTACCAGAAAGTCACTGATCTGAAAAGATCATTGGATTGCAGCAGTTGCTACTCCAGAGGATCACTTAACTGTTCAGCCCACAGGAAACATCCCTGACTCTTCATGAGGCACTGGCCGGTCATCGGGGATGCGGATAGGGTCCATGTGTACTCCTAGGTACTCAAGCTGAAAAGCTGAACGCAACTGCGTGGAGTGTAGGTTGGTTTGCAGCTACATTTCTGAATATCTTCCTGAAGTAAAATGAGAACAGTCAGAGAGAGAGAGAGAGAGCAAGCGAGCGAGAGAGGTCATCAATCATATCAATCCAAGTAATGTCAACCCTGGATTAATAAACCCCTAGGCTGTTTAATTGGGAGGATACCATTTAAGTATTAGATTATGACTATTGGAGGAGTACCCCCTTAACTAATAAACCATGGTTTATTAATCCGGGGTTGACATTACTTATCATACTTTGCAAGGGTGTGACATGCAGGAATGCAACAGCAATCTATAGCAATCCCCCTGCAACCACTTCCTTTTTTCAAAGCGCACTAAAGCAACCGAGACACAAACATACACAATCGTGGAATAGAGGGTGCCTCATCCCATAGTAAAACCCTTGAACTAGACTTGCAATGTAGCCCTTTCCTCCCCACATTGCCATAGTTGAGGCAAGGTGCAAGTCTCGAAAGACAAAATTTCCTTAGGAATTGAGGGCCCCTGATTGTAGCCTCAGGAGTTTACACCTTTTGCATTTTGATTGATGCCCAGAGCAACTTCGAGTTGACCCACTTGTTTCCGGGCCTCATGGGGCCTTTAAATTCTTTCGTGCAGTCAAGACCCTGATTCTTGCATGTCTTAAACCATTCGGTGCGGCAAGCCGCCATCATCCCGCATTATTTTTTTCCAGCTGTACAGTGCCCCTTCTGCATAGCACTGCTCGAATACTTCACATTGGCACTATGAAATAAGCTTTAAGTATTAGCTTCGCTGCCAGCACCCACATTCTGGGGGTGATGTTTGGAAAGGATCATCTTCCAACTGGTACTAGTTTAGAAAGGTGACTTTCAGGCGGAGAAAAAAGCTGAATGGGTTGGACAGAATGACGCATAAGAACCATCAGATTCCAAGGGGAAGTTGGTTCCCAGACACGCAGGGAAAATTTTATAGGAACCCCATGAAACATCATGAAACCCCCATATTCTCAGCTCATTTCTCCCTATAATTCCCTATATTTAAGGCAGTTCCCTTACTGTAAATCAACCCGTTTAATTTAGTGGCCCAGTGATTGGTTGGATTTGGTTGGATGGTGTTGCATCCTCGAGGCCGCAAAGAACGGCGACCTAAAAGCAGTGGAGGCGGCGACGATCTGACAATCTGAGTGGCTCCGATATTCAAAGCAAATGAGACATTAAGAATCAAGAAGAGTAGATTGATAGGTTGCAAACAGATTTGGTGGATTATATTGATTGGTATTTCATCAGATTTCCGAGGTCAATCTTTGAAAAACATCTTGCGGCATCCCTGATCCAGGAATTTCTTCAGAAGAACAGGCCGCTGGATGCACAGGACCACAAGGGCATCACGGCCCTAGGATATTCCATTGGTACGAGCCGCATTGCAGTGGCACCGTGGCAGAATTTGGCACATCGTAGGTTTTTTGCCGCAGCAAACTGGGGTGTCCTTATAAATGACCCGCCTTTATGGATGGTTTATAATGGAAAATCCTATGAATCAATGGATGATTTAGAGGTAGCCCACAATTCGGGAAACCTCCAAATAGCCATTGTTGCATGATTTTGAATAAGAACGATGACTAATCAGCAGATTTGGGGATACCCTAAATGGCGCGAAATTGTGCGGGCATGACTGCTGGAGTTTCTTCTTATGTGCCTCTCCGCGCATGTTATAAGACAGGTACTTGACAGGCACATGCGTAGTTGTGTAGCAATGGGTTCGATACAGAGAGTAGCAGAAACTGGCTGGTGAGCCAGGGCCAAGCGAGAGACTGAGGGTAGAACTTGCTGGTGCAGGGCGAGTGAAGGGTGACTTCTGGAGTTTCTTCTACGCTGCGCACCTGGAACTCTTCAGGCATCACAGACTGAGTCACACACCGAAGGAATCTCAAAGACGCAGCGTCTTGCAGCTACTGTGCGTGTGATCACGGCGGTAACATGCAAGACCATTCCAAATCTCGACCTGTGTGGGGAAATTGATGGATGAAGGGCCCATGTTCCTGCATAGCCTAGATATTTTCACATGTCCAAAGGCGAGAGCATTCAAGCGATTCAAGAAGCCTCCTTGTGGTTTCACATCATAGATTGTGCCCATATTTACCATCTTGGTTCGTTACTTGAAGAGGTACTTGGGTCGCCCTTCCAATATATAGCGAGGATCCTGGGGCAGATAAAGTCGCACGGCTGTGCAGATGTGCACGACGAATGACATTGAGCTAGAAGGAAGTGAAGTCTGCCGCGGGAATGGCCAGGTATGTCCTATGTTCCCTCCAGTTGGCGTTCAAATTAATCATGAATCTTCATCTCTCGAAGACGGTTGGTGACATTGGCATCACAGAACTTAACGAACTGGGGCCACGGTTGCCCCCATTGACTCACAAGGCAACGCTCAGAATAGATCATATTAGATTAGTTTTTTCATAATACCCTCCAGTACACTATAACATTATGGAAAATCATCATATATCATCATTTAAATCACTAATGATATATATCATCACATATCATAATTTTCAGAATAAATCATCTAGAAGGAGTTTTCCATAGCTATGTTAGTTTACTGAAGGGCAGCCATGGTGCGCGAAGTCGCTCCTAGGTCAAGCTGCTGCTGGAGTCACGAGCCAATCCTTATGCCGTGGACAGTAATGGCCCCGTGGCAAAAAAGTGGTGGTGGAGCCCAAAACGTTAGCTGAGTTGGTGTTTTAACTCCAATAACTATATGGAGGCTTCCATAAATGATAAATGGGGGCACCCCAAAAATGATGGTTTATAAGGGAAAATCCATCTATAAATGGATGATTGGGGGGTACCACCATTTTAGAAAAAACCACCATATATTGTTTATGGATGTTTATGGTAGATTTATCATGGTCGAAGGAAGTTTAGAAGTCAAACTTCCGACAATATGGACAGATGAAAAGCAGAGTAGGGGAGAGGCAGAGAGAAGAGGAAGATTAGAAGAGAGAAGATGAGAAGAGAAAGAGTCAGAAGAAAGAAGATACAGATGCGCGAAAAGGTAGGAAAGTCGCGAAACACTGTGTTTTTCCAATGATTTGTGGCTCAGGAGGGTCGAAAAGTAGGCTCGCTAAAGCGGCGGGTGCGGAGCCAGCTGGTCACAGGAGCGATGAAAAATTGCACGCCGTTGTGGCGCGAAGCACATTTCCAAGTCAAAAGTACAAAACACCTCAGCGTCGGACGACTTTTGGAAGTTGCGATGTCGAAAAAGTGCACGCCGTTGTGGCGCGAAGCACATTTCCAAGTCAAAATGTACAAAACACCTCAGCTCCGGACCACTTTTGGAAGTTGAGATGTCGAAAAAGTGCACGCCGTTGTGGCGCGAAGCACATTTCCAAGTCAAAATGTACAAAACACCTCAGGTTCGGACCACTTTTGGAAGTTGAGATGTCGAAAAAGTGCACGCCGTTGTGGCGCGAAGCACATTTCCAAGTCAAAAGTGTTAAAAACTGGCGGTCTCGGACCACTTTTGGAGGTTCAGATGTCGAAAAAGTGTCGAAAAAGTGCACGCCGTTGTGGCGCGAAGCACATTTCGAAGTCAAAAGTGTAAAAAACTGAGGGTTTTGAGCCTTTTTTGACGTGAAGATGTCGAAAAAGTAGACATTGATTAACTTAACTAACTTGACTAACTTAACTAACTTCACTAACTTAACTACCCTAACTTCGACAACAACAGCAACAGCAACAACAACAACAACAACCACAACCACAACCACAACAACAACAACACCAACCACAACAACTACAACAACTACAACTACAACAACTACAACAACTACACGACAACTACAACTAGAACTACAACTACAACAACTACTACAACAACAGCAACAACAACAACAACAGCAACAACTACAACTACAACTACAACTACAACTACACAACAACTACAACTAGAACTACAACTACAACGACAAGTACAGCTACAACAACAACAACAACTACTACTACTACTACTACTACAGCAACAACAACAACTACAACTACAACAACTACAACAACTACAACAACAACAACCACCACTACTACTACTACTCCTCCTTCTACTACTACACTACTACTACTACTACTACTACTACTACTACTACTACTACTACTACTACTACTACTACTACTACTACTACTACTACTACTACTACTACTACTACTACTACTACTACTAACTAACTACTACAACTACACACACAACAACAACTACAGCTACAACTACAACAACAACTACAACTACAACAACTACAACTACAAAACAACTACATCTACAACTATATGACTGCAACTACACTACACTAATTACATTACACCACAACTACAACTCCACTACGCTACAACTACAACTACAGTTGCAGTACATCACACTACATCCAGCAGTTGTGGGTGAGGTGACCACTGCAACCATCATTGCAACCATTCCAGCAAACACAACTCCAACCACCTTTCGGTCAATCAGTGGATTCGCTCTGCCATCCGTGATTCACAACAACCAACGTCTCCTATAGGTTTCCTATTCTGAAACTTCCGCCACCGCCTTGTGCGGTACTACTGGTATATTTGTAGTTGATGGGGGTTATTATCCAACAAAACATGTCATATTGGGCTAGATACCCAACATGCGAAGATGTAGAGAAGTTACAGTAGATGCTCCACCTGAATAGCAGTGTGGAACCCAATGCTGCGTCCTGCTGTAGTTTTCTCTGAGCAGATTGAGCAGGTACTTATGACTCTCTCAACATGAAACAACACTGTAGTTGGTCAGGGAGCTGAACACAAGCCAAACCATGGCGATCCAAGCTGATGAAATGCAAAGGAAGTTTAGACAAGAAACTTTCGTCAATGCATAACTGTAGCTAACCAATTCAACCACTCAGCAAGTCGCCTAGCAATATCAATCAATGAGAAAGTGTCACTAGCTCGCTAGTCAACTGAACAGCTAGCATCAGCTAGCAGCTGGGGGATTTATCAGAGTAGGGTGACAGTCAAAAAGTGTGCGAGACACGTTTGTGCAGGTCTTCTGTTGTCAGGACTGCAGAAAATGTTGACGTGTTCCATGTATATTGGCCTGGTTGAAGAAAGAAAGAAAGAACGAAAGAAAGAAAGTGCGCGAGACAGTGTTTCTGCAGGTTTCGACCACTCTCCGACCACTCTCGCGGTTTCGCGGTTCTGCTTGGGGGAGAAACACTTGGGACTAGCGCGGGAAGGTGTGTGTCTGGTAAAGTTCTCGATTTCGCGCGACCTTCCTGTGAAATGGAGGAGGTTTCTAAACGCACTGTAACAGCACGGCTAGAGCTGGCAAGGCAACACCGGGCTGCACTACGCTGCGGGCTACGGTCGCAAAGAATTGGTGGAGTATTTATTGAAGGACCGGGATGCGACACCGCCACATGGTCATAGCTGGTCATCGCCAGTGTTTTGGGGTGCGACACCAGGAGGCTTCTGCCAGTTGCATTTCTAGATGATGTTTACCAACTGCAAGTCGTAGGTACATAGAATATTCCTTAACACCTTGCCTGGCATGAGATGTCATAGTGTCCAAATTGGTGGATGTGTTACACAATGTTACACATACTGAGTGTCCAATCCGTGCAAAGCCCGAGACAGATTTTCGCCAAATTCCACGCCACAGGTGGGCATTAATGTGAACCATCTCAACGCTCAAAGCCAAACACCTCTCACGGTGGCACAGATGAACAAACAGGAGGCAGGACTCTCGCTGTCTGATCCGCTGGGAGAATCCAATACTGGGCATCTCAAAGTGGGCTATAGCCACACTTCTCACGAAAATGATGGGATGTTTGCAGTGATCAAGCGATAAACCATGCGATAAACCATGGGATTTTGCTGTATCCTATTTTCAGACATGCCGAAATGTCCATCTTCGTCAGGCCACGATTCAGCTCTTACGCGCCCATGGCGCCCAGTGATGGCCGACAGTCCATATGGCACGAAATGATAAGAAATGCCGAAATGCCAATGAAGTGTCCTCAAAAACTCAATGTACGGTGCCCTAACCATCCCAACCAGAATTCACATTTTTCCGTGCATTGGATGTGAGTTATTTTTATCATAGTTCACATGTTTGATTTGTTTCAGTTGAGAACCATTCAGTGTGACACCAGAAAAAAAAATCAGGAAGTGATCGTGATTGGCGCCTATGTCAGATATGAAAAAATCTGGCCATTCGTAAGACGAACTTGGTGTTGAAAGATGGACATAGATGGCATAGTCAGATAGCTGGAACCTAACAAACCTGGTAACCTGACCTAGCACCTCGCTGACACAACGAGACTTCCTGTGCAATGTGGGTTCCTGCGAGAGTGATCTAATTGTGGTCCAGGACTCTCTTGGAAGGGAAGGAACATGTTCGAACAGTTTCATGATTGACTGTATGTTTGTATATTCTTGTAAGATGAACAATAGGGATTGAGATATAGTCACAGCCGAATTCGGGAGGTCGTCAGATGGTGCTATCTATTTTTTTAATATTGAACAAGGTTGCAGCTTGCAAGCTTTCTCCCCACTGAGACTTATAAAAAGAGAAGAAAAGAAAAGACACCAAGTCCAAAACGCTGCGTTCTCCACAGCACCGAAGAAACCACTGCGCCACTGCGCAATCAGCACTGGGACGAGCTGGCGCCAATAACTTGGGTCATACTTAATGGTTGGGCGTTGATTATGACCAAACATACTCTCCAGCAATCAAAGTTGGCTGGGAAATCCACTATAAGTAGGGTGTTGGGAAAATCATACGCCCATCATCCAAGTGGGCACGCAATAATCGTCCCATCAGTTTGGTGGAAAAAAAACACGCACCATTTTGCTCAGTAATTTTCCGTGGACATTCGATATTCCCTTCAAACCTTGTCTCGAAACCCCACCTTCTCCCACAATCATTTCTTCGTTCATTCATTCATTCATTCATTCATGCATTTGTTCATTTGTTCCTTTGTTCCTTTGTTGAACCTTTTGTTTTTTTCATTGTTTCACTTTTTATTCATTCCTTTTATTCATCCATTTATTCATATGTTCCTTCCTCTCGTCCTTTTTTTCTTGTCATTCAATCATTCATTCATTCACTAACTCATTCATTCTTTCATTCCCTCGTTTATTCTTTCGCGCATCCATGTTTCATTCACGCTTTCCTACGCTCATGCGGGCCATTCTTTTTCTCGCGCATTCGTTCTTTCACGGGATGGCATTTCGTCTTATCGGACGTTCGATCTTTGTGGAAGACATCTTGCGCGCTTTATCAATGAATCTTCCAGATTACGGACCAAATTCATTCCTTCATTCGTTTATTTCTTCGTTCCTTCGTTCCTTCATTCTTTCCTTCGTTCCTTCATTCCTTCCTTCGTTCCTTCATTCCTTCCTTCGTGCCTTCGTTCCTTCCTTCGTTCCTTCGTTCATTCATTCACTCATTCATTCATCCATCCATCCATGCATCCATCCATCCATCCATGCATCCATGCATCCATCCATGCATCCATCCATGCATCCATCCATGCATCCATGCGTCCATCCATCCATCCATGCATTCACACATTCATTCAGTCATTCATCTTGACGCTCATCACTCATCTCTTCGCTTCTTCATTCGTTGGTTGATTGAGTCAGCAGTTTTTTCATGCATGTTTTTTCAAAGCCTATGCAACGCCGCACAAAATGTCTTATACGCCAACGATCTTTTTATGGTCGTTTCTCTCTTTAAAGACTTCAGCCCCGGCGTGGCCGGGCACTCTCTGTACGCCAAACAGCATAGAACATGACATGAATATCACATGAACAGTTTGGAACATGCCATGCCGAATAAAAATGGCAGTCCGTGCGCGCCAGTGCGCGCAGCGGCGCAGTCGGTGCCCTTTACCAATTCTCCGAGGCTTCATAGCCCTGCAGCGACGCAGTCACTGTGACCCTCTGGGGCCTTGGATTCTCTGTCTCAACTGATCCTGCCGTGGGGTGTCAAGGTCCGAAATCCATAGGTGGGATCCCATTTTTTAGCAAAAAATGTGACCAGAATCCTGCTCCGGTGCTCATGGAGACTGCCAAGTTGCTGTGATTGTTTAAGACAACAGCATTTTACTTAGCAGCAATAGCCTCCCTGCCATGAACAATGATGCTTCATGATCCAATTACCCACTTGAATTGACCAAAGTCAAGCCATTTATTGGTTGCCAATGGCCTTTCCAACAAGCTGAGACGGTCGTGAGGGATGACTGTACATGATTGGACGGGGGAGCAGCGCTGCGACCGCCATAGCTTGTGCATCTCGCGAGAATTCTTCGGTTTGGCCATCCCCGGTGCCCTCTTGAAACAGCGGAAGTTGGGGTCTCAACGCACAGTCCATTCAGCGGATCACAAACGGATCACTCGCTGGGGTCAAGCGGAATTTAATGTAATTCAACGTGAAAATCGTCAATGAATGGATGACATGATCAGACTGATCGTTGGTTCAACCTGTCGCTGGAATGAAATCCGAATCGGAAGTTTCCGCCAGAGTCATGTTGCATTCCATCGGCCTTCAACAATCTTCACCTTAATCTCTGGTTCACCTCTAGCTGTGAAAGTTATCCAAAGGATGATCCCAGGCTAGCGAAAGCTCAACAAAGCCCAAATAATTGAACCTTTCATGGAAACCAATCATATTCCCAGCAGTCCACCATCATATCTTGTCTATGAACCTCCGGTATTCAGGTGCTTGGGACGAAAGAATACATGGAACTGAGAACCGGGACGGGATGGCCGTTCGGCCAAAGCTGAGTCCGAGCCGCGCGAGACTGCATCGCCGTGAAGCTAGATACAAACCTGACTGACATCCACTATATCTCCATAATCCCCATGGAACCACCATGGAACCACCTGACTAGTCCGAAGGGTCTGAAGGGCCAAACATAGACGTGACAAGAAAGTCTTCATAGCTGAGGTCAAGACATGTGGGATGTCAGTGAAAAACTTTGCAAGTGATTTCCATTAGGATAATTCTTAGGCCTCAAGGTCATGTCTCATGAAAGGTTGTCCAGCATCCATGAACTCTTTTTCGCAACAAGTTTGGCACATTTTGGCACATCCAAGTGAAGTTAGCAAGATTTCATGTGAATCTGCTGGATGTTTCAGATGTTTCGACGTTGCGCATGGGTCGCTCCTCGAAATTCCTGGTCTTTCAATGGAGTCGTCGACGTGACTGGCGCGCTTTGCTGCGGAGCTGGAAGGCGATGATGAAAAAGGTCCAATTCAGGTTCTGCAACGAGAAAAAGATGGCAAATTTGGTTTCTCAATGTTTCTCATATCTTGAAATTGGGTGAATTTTGAGACTGTGGCAGTCAAAAAAAAAACGAAAGAAATGCTGGATTTCAGTTCCATAAATTGTCAATAGTGCAGCTTGTCACCCTGTCAAATCACCTGATCAGACCCTGAAGTTCTTTGTTTTCCTTGCCTGTTGTCAGGGGTTGGTAAATGTCCTGGCTTGGGGATTATCGTCACATCATTTACAAGGCCAATAACTGGGTGATGTGAAAAAGATAGGGCAGATTTACCAACCTCTGAAATGATAGTTACATTTAAGGGCCCTTCGGGAGTACCCAAAATATACATACATATTTATACGGCAAATGCCTGGGTTTTGCCCGGACCCGCAATGACGACGGGCGACGCATCATCATCATCATCAACATCATCATCAACATCATGATCATCAACATAATCATCATCATCATCAACAACAACATCATCAAACCCTTATTGACGATCTTCAATGAATGTAGAAGTTTAACGGGGGTGGGAGAATTAAACCCTTATTGGAGATCTTCAATGAATGTAGAAGTTTAACGGGGGTGGGAGAATTAAACCCTCATCGAAGATCTTCAATGAATGTAGAAGTTTAACGAGGGTGAGAGAATTAGACCCTTATTGAAGATCTTCAATGAATGTAGAAGTTTCACGGGGGTGGGAGAATTAAACCCTTATTGGAGATCTTCAATGAATGTAGAAGTTTAACGGGGGTGGGAGAAGTAAACCCTTATTGAAGATCTTCAATGAATGTAGAGGTTTAACGGAGGGTGGGAGAATTAAACCCTTATTGGTGATTTTCAATGAATGTAGAAGTTTAACGGGGGTGGGAGAATTAAACCCTTATTGGAGATCTTCAATGAATGTAGAAGTTTAACGGGGGTGGGAGAATTAAACCCTTATTGAAGATCTTCAATGAATGTAGAAGTTTAACGGGGGTGGGAGAATTAAACCCTTATTGAAGATCTTCAATGAATGTAGAAGTTTAACGGGGGTGGGAGAATTAAACCCTTATTGGAGATCTTCAATGAATGTAGAAGTTTAACGGGGGTGGGAGAATTAAACCCTTATTGAAGATCTTCAATGAATGTAGAAGTTTAACGGGCGTGGGAGTTTAATATTCCCTAATATTCCCAATTGAATCTAAAGTTTAACGGGGGTGGGAGTTTAATATTCCCTAATACCGTTTTTGTTTTTCCCCTAGGATTTTCGGGTGTTTTGGCATTTTTTTTAAATAGTCCCTAGTACCTTTGCTGTTTTCCCCATAGGAATTTAAGGTTTAACGGGGGTGGGAGTTTAATATTCCTTAATATCTTTGTTGATCTTCCTAATTGAATGTTAAGTTTCACGATTTGAGAGTTTAAAATTTCCTAGTACCTTTGTTGTTTTTCCCATAGGAATTTCAAATGTTATGCCGTTTTTGTTTTTCCCATAGGAATTTTGGGTGTTTTGACCTTGTTTGTTTAATAGTCCCTAGTACCTTTGTTATTTTCACCATAGGAATTACGGCAATTTGCAACATCATTTGTTTGTGAATGGGAAACCTCTACGCTGCAATGCCTGGGCAAAACCCAGGCGTTGCGCGTATTCATATATATATATACAATGTATATATATATATATTCAGAAATATAAGTAGGAGATATTTCTATCGAAATTTCCTTACAGTATTCAATCATGGCAAAAGAAATATCCCCATAAAAATGATGTTCCTAGCTATTTTTACCATCCAATTTTCGGCTCATTTACAATCCCCGTAGAAACCATTCATAAATTATATGTTCTTAGCTATAAACCCCCTATTTACGGGGGAAGTTCCTGGATGTTCGGATTTTCCAGCCACGTTTCCAACGAGGTCCCTGGGTGCTCTGCTGCTCTGTCCACTTCTGCGCGAAGCCGTCGCTGCGTTGCTAGGCACGGGCGCAATCACTTGGCCTATCTTGAGATGTTGGTGTATTATGTGCTGAGTACGTAGAAATATATGACAGTATATTGCTGTGTTATGTTGATATACGTTGGTATATGTTGATATAAGGAATAAAATCTCTGTTCTACTAAGAGTTTGAACCGAATTGAAGCGCAACATCTCAGCTTTTGTTCTTCAGCAGGTATCTTTTTGTCGCTGATGAGAAAGAAAAACAAAAGTCCTTCTAGACTCCTCCTAATACAGAAACCTATCTGGTGTTCCACATTTCTGCGAAACAGTCTGGCTAGTAGGATGTCCTAGAGTCCCACTATTAATTCCACTTCCAAGCTTCACATGGTTTTTTAAGCTGAAGTTTGCCCATGCCCCCGCTCAAGTTCTCATGCAGGTTGTGGCTGCACTATCCGATTTCTAGGTGAGACCGTCCCAGCTCTGCTGTGAAATCCATACAGAGAGCAACTCAGAGCGACTTGGACTTTGAAAAACCAGATTTTTTCATTGATGAAAACCATGAAATCATGGATGAAACCATGGATGAATCCTGGATACCTCAACGAATCATGCGCCGGAATCTTACAGGGATGATGTCATTTCATCTTGGGCGTCTTGGAAAAGGCCAACACACACCAGCCGAGAAAAAAATTGAAGGTTGGTCCATGAGGCTGCCACGGAACAGACCTGGTTTTTTTTCACCTTGAAAAGTTGCAATGTCCTGCAAGTTCCTCGGTTGATGCGTGAAATCAATGTGGGAAGGCGGCTCACCTTCCCTTCCATCCTTCGCACGAAGTCTGTCCGGAAACCTCGAGGTTTTCAACGTTTAAACTTCATGATTTTTTCTGATTCTGAATGCGCTTTGGATCCATATGGATCCATTTGGAGCAAGCTTAAACTGAATTTTGGGATGGAATGTCACATTTCATTGCTTTGAGTTGAACAAGCTGACATTATGATCGCCGCTGTTTGAGTTGCTCTCAAGGCCAGAAAAAAGGCCCTCCGGACTCTAAATATTATCTACAATGCTCTTGTTTTCGAGGTGACTAAGATGTGCTGAGTACTAAGGTATTACTAAATGTATTACCAAGTATAAAACTATTTTCAAGTATAAAACTAAGTGCCATGAAATGCCAGTATTTCTTTGCGCCGTTTGATCGGCTTGACTCATAGGCAACCCGACAACCCCTTGCTGCACCAGCCGGACAGCTCCGTTCGCATCGCCGTTCGCATCGCGATGGGCCATGCCGTCCTTCCTGGGATCCCCTGGCGAAAGGGAGCCGCATCTCTCCTGGTGCGGGAGGATGGAGCCAGCACACCAGGTGGCAAGGTGCGGTGTGCCGACCTGGAGGATGGGCCTACGTCAATTTCTAGGCCCACAGTCCCAACTGGTTCCTGGTGTAGTTCCTTTATGTTCCCATCTCAAAGATGTCCTGATCTGGGAAGTCCATGGAATTCCATGTCCCAAATCTTGCTCAATGGAACAAGGGCTGGCAAGATACCAATGCCTCCAGCCACTTTGAATGATATTGCCAGCAACAGGGGACATTGAGAAATCACAAGAAATACGAAAAGCAGGATTTGGATGACTTGTTTGGACAGTTGCCATTCGACACATAAAAGTACAGATCCTGCTCATGGGCCATGACAATCACATGCAAGTGCCAATAGACCCCGTTTACCAAGCCATGAATTGAAATGTTTTTTGCCTGTTAAAATGGGATCTCAAACTTCGCATTTGGTGCAAAATCGCCAGATGCTCCAATCTCAAGCCTTCTGCATCTGTTCAATGTGACACGTTCCAAATCTTCGCATTCTCAAAGGTTTGTTACTCCAATCCTTGATGTCCTGCAGATTACGATTCCAGTGTCTACCCTCTGGTAAACAAACATAGCTATTGAAAATGGCCATTTATAGTGGGTCTATCCTTTAAAAATGGTGATTTTCCATAGTTATGTAAACGTTTACCAGAAGGTAATTACCCTGCACCGCAGATCGCTGGTTTTGATTTGAATGACACCTTGGTCTCCAGCAAAGTTGGCGCACCAGGCCTGCCATCATGGGAACCTGTGTTGATGAAGGTTTGGCTAAAAGGTGGCTCTGTACGCCTTCAAGGCATACTTCAACGGGTCCTGGTTGTTTGGGTTCAGGTTCCATCTCTGCCATTGAAAAAGATGAAAAGGGCAACTTTGTGACTTGTCTTCTTTGAAAGTAATACCTCAAGCTGACTGGCTATGTCAGTGGCTTGTCGGCAGCAGATGGATTGCAAGTTCCACTTGGTCAGGGCCACAAGCGCCCCGTTGCGCGGAAGGTTATCAGGTGACGGTGTCAGATTGGACATTCTACAGCCCAGCGCCCGAAGTCTCAGTGGCTAGCCAGGTGGAGTATAAGCTGGATAGAATTATCTTATGTACATATACATATATATCATATATTATGTGTATATATACATATATATATATAGTTGTTCTAGAAGTATATTCAGGCAATACTCTTTGCTGGAGGGTGGGAATCCGACTCATTTGCATGAAACCTCACGGCTTTGGGCAGATTCACGCGGGACACAAAAGCTTTATAGAATGATGCTACACATAGGAAGGAGTTTCCAGCCCCTTTCCAACATGCCATCGCCGCCTGAGGGTTCCGAAGAAATTGAAGGAACTGCATAAAGATGGTTTTAGGCGTGGGGGATCGTCCGAGGTCAAAGTGGTTTTGTGAGTCGTTTTTAAGTCGTTTAATGTCCCACTGTCCCACAGGTTGGTGATCTTCACCAACCAAGGCAACATCAGGAGATGGGCGGTGCCGGTCTCCAATTTCACTGGTTAAATTTCTTGGGATTTTCTGAGTAAAGACATGTAAAGACCCTACTGTGTCCTACATGGTGTCCATAGATGGAAATGTAAATTTGCCATGTCTTACATATAAGAAATTTCGGGAAGACATGTAATGGACACCAATGGACACCAATGGACACCATGTAAAGACATGTGACGACTCTGTTACTTGGTGTCTTTTTGTGTCGAGGAGCGCCTTGGACGGGAAGCGTTCAGCGACCTTCAAGGCCTATGTGGCCCCTCGACTGGAAATCTTGGCCCCTTCTTGGTGCCGTTCCCTGCAGCCAAGGATGCCTTTCTGAAAGATGTCGGCGTTCCCATTTTGGCTGGGACCCTTGGGAACCCTTGGGAACCCTTGGGACCCATCTTAGACCAATCTGTGAAAACCTGGAAGTTCGATTGTTTGAACATGTTGGCTAACGAACTGTTGCATGACATTTGTTGATGGATTGTGCAAGATGTTCGAAGTCTGCAGTAGCCATGTCATGATTCCCCCAGCAGGTATGTCCGCCAGTCATTGCTGAATTAATTCTCCAAAAGATGCAACAAAAGGATACAAAAGGAGGAATATGACCCAAGGTACAAACTTCAAGCGCTACCCTTTGAATATCTATGTCTATGTTTTTTGCAAATCCTGGCACAACATCCACCGATATGGCTGGGACATGGAAACGTGGCTATGCATCCATTTCTCAAGGTGTTGGCGTCCACTCAACGAGACGACTTCCGCAAGCCGAAGATGGGCATGTGGCAGTACCTAGAAACCAAGGCGATGCACTGAACGATGCCAGGGTTTCGACAGACAAATTAGCGGACCCTGGTGCAGATTGGAGAAATGTGGGTGCCGAATCCTAGTGTCTGTTGTGAAACGCTGGCAAGTTGCAATGCTGCAACCATCAACCGCATCTTTCCAGGAGAAGATTCTTGTTGATAAGAGTTCAGAAAGTTTTGTGTCTTCAGATTCTTGGCATGTTCAGAAACAAATCATTGGTTCAATTTGATATCGGGTGATAGTTGAAGTATGTTGAAGTCTAAATATCTTGTCCTGTTTTGGAGTTCAACTGCAACCTGCTCCCCATTTGCCCATGGTTTACTCCATTCTAGTGAATTTGCGGTGGCAAATAGTAATGCAGTAGCAGGTTTAAGGTCAGATCAGGTCGTTCCGGGCTTCATTGGTGTATGAAATGATATGAAAAGTGTAAAGCGAAGCTGTTTGACATGGGAAGCCCGAAACACAGCAAAGAGATGCAAAGAGCGTGTGCGGAAGAAACTTGGTGAGATGGAAGCCATCGATGGAAACGTGTTCTTGATCAAGTACGATTTTGTTGTTGTGCGGCGATCTAAAATTCATCGCTATTGATAAACACCAAGCCCTTCATGGATACATACTGGTGTATGCTGGTCAAAAGGGAAAATCTGATCTCCAGACTGCAAGTTTTCTGGCACATATTTTGGCATCTTCAACGCGCAGGCCAATGGCTCAATTTCTGTCAACAAAGAGCTCAGTTTCTACGTTGGTGATGCAGCAGGCTGCCCCCATGCCACATCCTTCCGGGGGGTGACATGAGGGTGACAGAGCGTAATCCCTTTGGATTGGGGGTGATTTGTTTAAGAAATCCTTGCAGATGTGGATTCCTTCGGCATGCTTATTGCTTCTGCTGGGTTCTACTCATAAAGCTCGGCCTGTGCTACGAATTCAGTATGCTCGGGATTGCGATGGAGGATCAACATCCTTTTTCTGTTCCAAATTTGGCCACCAGCCTTCAATACACAAACGCAACCAGGTTGAACCCCGACAAATCCCACATTTGGAGAAGGGACAGGGTGCCTGCCCTCATTGCTTGGTGATGCAGACGTTCCAAGAATTACAAGATTGCACAAGATGAGGATATCAATAATCTTGAAGCATTAATAAAAAAGGAGGATATAAGAGGATGCTCAGATCAGATATGCTCAGCGCCTTTACCATGTTCACATCATCCCTTGGCCCACAGGAGCTCCTGGTGAGCACTCTGCAGATGACGCTGACTTTGCCAAAGCCATTGGTTTGAGGCCGAAAAAAGAAATCGGATCGGCAAACTCTTTGCAGCGCGGATGGCTGGTTCTTGACGCAAAAGACAGCACTAGATCCTCGAAGACTTCAATAGTTAGTCTAACTTACTGTGGTGGGTGTATTTTGGTCCATCATGGCTTAGCGAGGATCCAATTCAAACTGGCATACATATGCACTTGTACTTGGAAAGCTAGACCCTAGAGGCCCTAGACCCAAAGTCATCCAATCCTTTTCACCATGTAAAAGTCTGCTATACATAATCAGGAAGGACAGGTGAGCAAGCATATTCCGGTGGAGCTCCATTTGCCAGTTTCTTTTTGATGGCTCTCGACCTGCTCATGCAAGCACGCTCAAATAGCCGAAAGCGATATCATGCGATATCTCGCATAAATTCATGGAAGGCACTCGATGATTTGCTAATCCAGTTCCCGCTTCACACATGTTGCTCCTTTTGGATCACCAAGAAAACCATGTGGCTTGATCTTTCAAAGGGGATCAACATCATCTGCACATGCAGGTTCATCCACACGAAGGATTTCTTCGGACTTCAAGGTGGAACACCTCCGTGACCCTGGTGTTTTTTTCATTTGGACCATGGCCCTATTGGGATATGATATCAAATCAAGGAGTTTCATGTGACAAGGCGACAGCTGAAGATACACCGATTGGATGTTCGCCTCTCAGGGTCTCAAAATATGCCCGTTGCCCCTAGCGGTGTCAAGTCGTATCAATTCGTCATCCTAACATCTATCAACCCTGTTTTTGCCTTCGCTTGGGACCCGTCATTGAGAATGACAAGTGGGGTGTTTTTTTGACGGAAAATGTGTTTTTCCATTTAGACATTTTGTTGCGATTTTCTGTTTCCCTGCTTTTCTGTGTTTCCCTGCTTGTTTGCTTTCTCTGCTTCTCCGCCTTTCTGCTTCTTGGCGTTTCCCTGAGTTTTTGCTCCTCAAACCTAAATAAACTTTGAAAACAGTAGATAAATAGACCCTAAATCAAGCCTAAATAAACCCCAGACTAAACCTCAAAAATACATGACAAACCTTTTTCAAACCCTAAATAGATCTTAAACCAAGCCCAAATGAACCCCAAGCCAGCTCTAAATAGATCCTAAACCAACCTTGAATATGTATCTATCTATCCGTCTGTCTGTCTGTCTGTCTATCTACCTATCAATCTAATCTCATCTCATCTCATCTAATCTAATCTAATCTAATCTTTCTATCTATCTAGTCGACCACATTTAAATAAACCCTAAACAAACCTTAAACCAAGATAGGCCCCTAAACAAACCCTAAATAGATTTTAAACCAAGCCTAGGTAAACCCCAACCCTAAATCGAACCTAAAGCAACCCTGAATAGATAATTGACCAAGCCTAAACAAGCCCCAAACCAACTCCAAATGAAAACGAACCCTTCATAAGGCCTTAAAACCAACCATAACCAAGCCTAAAAAAACAGAAACCAACCCTAAACAAACCTGTCCCTCAAACCTAAAGCCTGAACCAGCCTTAAACAGAACTTTAAGGGATGGGATTTCCAGGTGAGCTCACGGAGCAGCAGGAGCAGCGGGACACCCCGCCAAAGAAGGCCACGCTATCAGACGGTATCAGATGGTATTTTTGGGTGGTTGACATTCAAAGATCTGAAGATTTCAGAGATCATATATCTTAACATACCTTCATATATCTTCGAATATCATATGGCATGATGATTTAAGATCATTTAAGATATATGAAGGTATGTTAAGGTATGTTAAGAATTGAGATCAGGGAACAAAGAGTTGGCGACTCCTACCCTCTTAGAACGTGGTGCTGTCAGTTTATGACTAGGTGTGCGCAATCCGCGGGGTTTCAATCCAATATGTGATTGAACACAACTGTACAAATTTCCCGGAAGCCGCTAAATGTATGGTCAGTTTGTGCACTTTGTCGCGTTGCTTTTGGGGCAACACAATATCAAATGGAACCAAATTATGAATTCATAGTGACCATGCAATTACTTTTTTTTGCTCGGACCAGGTAAATGGTTTTGGTTCAGCTGCGGCAAGACCTAGAGGACATCAGCCAGAAACGTTGACCCAGTGACTTCCACACCGCATCCTGGGTTCCAGCAACACCGTTTTTAAATGACACTGAACCTTTGGGAAAAAGGGCGATGGTCAAAAGTCCAATGACGGTTTGGTTGGTTCTTGGCGATTTTACCGCTATTTGTGAGTGATTGCCATCGATGATGCTAAACCAAAAACCAGTAACTGGTGCAGTCCAAGGAATTCGCCGCTGCCAGGCTCCCCGTTTGGCAGCCCCGGGCGCCGCTTTGGCAGAGTCCATTGAGGAAGGAGTGGACTTCCAACTACCGCAAGGTGCGAAGACCGAGATTTGAAGCCATCAACAGGTGGCAACATGACTGGTTTTCCTATTGGGAAGACGTGGTTTTGCTAATATGGAATAATTAATGCTCGTTATGCAGAATCCGTTTGCTAGTTTGTGACTGTTGAAGAATGGCTGCTACTTGCATTGTTATGCCTGGTTTGCTACCAAGATCTGCCGAGCGCGCATAAAAAAATTCACTTAAAGTTCTTTACTTTGCACCATTTTCATAGTTGATATGTCGCAGAATTCCATGCCATCCATGCCATGTTAAAGCGTAAGATGCCACACATGACGAAATCTTCAAGCCGCCAGGTAAATGGCCAGATCCGCCACTGCTGCTGGTGTTAGTAGGTTTGCCTGGCTGTGGTAAGACCAGCTTCGCACAACGTTTGGGGCCCACATTTGGAGGACGGGGTGCAACTCGCCGAACATAACACGAGCCCTGGGTGCTTCGCCGGGTTTGGCTGGGCATCGGGAACTGTGGCCAACTAAATGAACATTAAGATTGCTGCAACCTCATGCAAATTTGACCTTTCATGACGATTTCTGTTTCATTGGGCATTCCCACCAAACTTGGGATGCTCAAGCTTGACTCAAGCCTTCCCCAAAGCCATGGTTTTTTACCCTTCGTTGCTGTTCCTTGATCAAGCTGTGCTCATGAGGCCACCAGGTCAACGCAGTTCAACTCTTGCAGCGCCGCGCCGTCAGGAGATTCCAAGAGTCCATCGCCATGGCGCCGCCACACGGCTGTGTTTTTTGATATTTTTTGATCACCAAGTCCAATGGGCTCCAAGTCCATTCTAAGTCCAGCCTGATCCATATGGATATCCATGGATATCGATGGATGTTCATGAGTGCTTGGCTGCTAAGATAATCATATCTTCCCACGGAATTCAACCCGGCAACATTTGGGGGGTAGTCATGTCTAGCCCTTCTGACCGCCGACCGCAGCAAAGCTTGGGAATGCCAGTTCAGACACCACAAGAGGTTTGATTCCAAACTTTGCCGCATCACAATAAGATAAAGGGCTCCCATCACTCATCAAAAAAGGAGGTGAATTGTTGGCATGAATCCCTAACATGTCCGCAATGTATTTGGTCATTTAGGTTGAGTAGGCCGCAATTGCAGTGATGCGTTTTGATGGCCAATGAAGCAGATCACATGAGATGGTGTGGAAGATACACGTCGATACAGGAGGATCCTTGCAACCTCTGTCGAAACCCAAGGCGTATGTCAAGATTTACTTCGCAGTGGGAGACCAAGTTGAGGATGGCCAACCATATTTGAAATATTCTTCCGGTTCCGGTTGCTTTCTGCCAGAGTTGGAGCCAGGACAAAGATCTTCGCATAACTACACGAGATTGTCAATCTCTAGTCACACGCACTGATGTTCAGCCGTGATGTTCGACATGTCGTGCTGCTACTAGCAGGATATTGCCGCCAGCATGACCACTGTTAATTCTCCTCGACAATGACAAGCCAACCCTCAAGTGTTTTTTGGTGGACAAGCGCGCGGACAGCAATTATAGGCACAAATTGAAGATGTAAGATATATTTCTACATGTAGCTCTGCTGGAACCAAGAAAAGCGTGAAAGTGTGCTTTCAAATGGTTGAAACATGGCTGAAAAAGAAACGTAGCTGCATAGAAATCGTAGGTTTCGCCTCCTTTTTTTGCCTTAGGTAAGGAGGCCTGTCTCCGCGCAGCTAGCGCCTGCTTGGACCAGGACAAGGGTATGAGGGCCCCCTAGACAGCTAATTGGGTTTTCACTAGGTGAACTATGAGTAACTATGGTTGATGGGGGATATAACGGGATAATACGTGATATGATTACGTGTGAGATCTAGATCATTGTAGTAGCTTTCGAGCTTTGAAGAAGGCCTGTGGCGCGTGACGTCTAGGCACCAACATCTCCTCAATGCCATGCACCATGAACAAGTCTTACAAGGATTTACAAAGGAGCATGAACATGTAAGGGTAGGATCAGGAGCGATGAAACTGCCTAGATATATCTAGATATCCTAGATCTGTTTCAGCCCCAGGGTCTCTCAGTGATCATCGATCGCACGGACATCAACGTGGAACAGCGAGCACCATGGGCCCAGCTTGCCAAGAGCAAGGCACCGTGCGAATGGGGTGACGCAGAAAATGATTTCTTGCAGGGCGAGGCCACTATGAATTTCTAAGGCTTCCCACAGGAAAGATTTGGCGGCAGGACCCAAGGCCACAAAGTACAGACTTCTATGTCATTTATATGGGCTCATGTGGTTTCCAATAGCTTTGCACATTCCGTTTAGCCAATATGTGCACCATTCCTTCGACATTTGGATGCGATGTTGAGAGTCCTCTGGGATGTTCCTCAGCGGCGGAAAACTATCAATCCATTGCAGTTTCACGCATCAAATTCATGTGAATATATGTCGCCCTGCCGTTGAAGACTTTTCTATCCATACTGTATACACGTCGACGGAAGTTTGAGATGTTCTGGCTAGTTGGGCTTGATGTTCGGAAACCAGTTTCTTGGCCATATCATATGATTTCTAGACATGCGACCCAGCGGGTTTCCTTCGCAGGGAGCAACGTGTCATGCGCTGATCTTCGATGTTCCCTTGGAGGACACACAGTATTTAGCTATCATGGAAAAATTGGAAAGAACACCATGGGTTTCTTAGAAATACCATGGGTTTTACCATGGATTTCTTCTGGTTTCTTTTGATCTTTGTTGCGTTTGTTGTTCAAGCCACATAGCCACATAGCATTGTACCAGGAATGCTGTCGAAGAGCACAGCATCGACAGGATCATGAGGGAGGTTTGAGGCGGCAAACATATCGGATACTCATGTGCTTTTCCGAGGAAAAACATGCCAAAAAAAAGCATTGTTCTGTTCTGGCACCTGCTGATGTAATTCCAAAATCCTCGTGTTAGAAAACGAAGCAAAAGACCTCCTTGAATGGTCAACAGCATGAATGGTCTTCGATCCACTGGTCCTTAACGTTCCTCCGGGGCCAAGGGGCGGTAGCGCACGACCCGTGATCATGAAGCTGCACAAGATGCAACAAGCGGCAGCTCGGCGATGCCAGGGATGAGTGGAAACTGCTGTCGGGAATACTACCAGGACGTGTATCTAGATACAATTTGTGATATCTATGTATATAGTGATATTAGGATGCAACATGAAGTATTTTTCGAGCCCAGCGGCACGGCATGAATGCTGGGATTCCCTGTCGCCAGGTAAATCATATGATAGATTGTTCTATGTGTTTGACAAGAATAGTACACCGCTTCGGATGTAGCCCTGCAAAAGTTGGCAGATCTATGAGATCTCCCGTCAAGTGGCAATCATGCAGCGCAAATTGAACCTGCAACCGATATGACGACCGTAATCTTCATCGCATCGTTGAATGACCCCCACACTTCTGAGTTTCTTTGAACAACATTGCAAGTGACTAAGTCCTGTTGCATCGCATTTAGCTTCGAGTTTCAAATAAGTTGAACGCAGGTACTCCCCATGCCACTTCTACAACATGGCTGAACGTTGTCATACTGGCAGAATAGCAGCACCCAAGCCTTGACAATAAGCGCTTAAACTTCACTGGTCAGCCCCAAAGATCTTCGGGTATGGGTCAAAACCACTGTACCGTTCTTGACCGCGACCCACCACATCCATATTGGAACCTGATAATTCACCCCGCTTCGCGTGGGGTGGCCGCCCACACCGCAGGTTTATTTCGGTCCGTGAGAGGGGAAAAAACCGGTCGAAAACATCATGTACGACAATGCTTCCAATTGGGGCTTCCCAAGCTAAGCAATTTTCACTTTTCCCCCCCGTAGAGGCTTCCCAGGCGAGAATTTTCACTTTTCCCCCCCGTGGAGGCTTCCCAAGCTAGGGAATTTTCGCTTTTCCCCCCGTGGAGGCTTCCCAAGCTAGGGAATTTTCGCTTTTCCCCCCGTGGGGGCTTCCCAAGCTAAGAATTTTCACTTCCCCCCCGCCTTGGGGGCTCCCCAAGCTAGGGAATTTTCACTTTTCCTCCCCATGGGGGCTTCCCAAGCTAGGGAATTTTCACTTTTCCCCGCCGTGACAGCTTCCCAAGCTATGGAATTTTCACTTTTCCCTCCCTTGGTCTCCAAGCTGCGGAATTTCAAATAGCTAGACAACGACGCCTAGATAGTCCTCCAAATCCCGTGTTCTTTGAATGTGTTTCCATGTTTTTGCAATGGTTTCCTTCAAAGCACGGTACTTTACACTTTTGTCGCCATAAAACCGGTCGAAAACATCATGTTCGACAATGCTTCCAATTCCCTTATCTCCCCAACCGTTGAAAATACCGCTATTTACAGTGTTTTCTTCAATTTTTCCATGTTCCAATGCCGGTAGCCAACTCCAACATATATATAAGAAATCCTTCCAAAACATTGTTTTTGACAGTGTTTTTCCAATGTTTCCAGTCAAACAGACGGTAATTTACACGTTTTTTGCCATAAAGGCAGTAAATCCTTCCAAAACATTGCTTTTGACAGTGTTTTTGTAATGTTTCCAGTCAAGCATACGGTAATTTACACGTTTTTTGCTAAACGTCAGTCCAAAACACTTGTTTTTGCAGTGTTTTCAATGCTCTGGCATCCAAAAACCCTGCAAAATCTTGCTATGTACAATGTTTTTTTCATTTTTGGCCGTTTTTCCATTGCCGGAAAGCTACCAAAATGACCCAAAATTCCATTTCGATACCCTCTTGCACTCAGACACCCAAAAATCCTCGAAAAATGTCGGAAACACCACCGAATTCTGGTCTCGGTGCGAAACCGCTTTTGGCCCCCCCCCAGCTAAAGCTGATATAGCGACTGCTATATTAACAAATGTGATTGAGCATTTAGTGTAGCTGTTTCCCCCCAATAAGCACGCCTTCACCGCCAAAGCGGTGTGGGCGGATGTAGTGGTTTTGATATCGTCCATATTAGGACCTGATACTTTCGACCGATACCCATTTTAGCATGTTTCCACGTTGCCAGGTAGATGCTAAAGAGGCGGGCACAGAAATATCATCGGCGGAGATCGCCCTTTAAAGGTGTTTCATCTAGGAGGTGATGTTTTCAAAGCCCAGAAATGGATGATTCATCGGAAGACCACCACATGTGAGGGTAGATGGTAACAGATGGTAACAGATGGTAACAGTATAGAAATATGATGAAATATGTAACAACATGTAACAACCATCTAGCAAACATGGCTAGCCTTTTCTGGGCAGGGCTTTGCGCGGGTGCAATTCTTGCGCGACGGCGAGCTGCCGCTGCAGAGCGAGTTGCGGCGCTATGGTGTCGAGGCTGAATCACAGTTCGCCATGCTTTGTCCATGGCCCATTTATCGTTAAATAGATGGCCCTAACCGAACTTCATAGCATGGTGAATCTTTCCATGGCGAACTGTTAGTCATAACCAGATGGTACACTATCTCTAGCATGAAGTATATGGGATCCTAAGTTTAACCGTCAGTTGAAAGGCACGACTGCATAGCTCACAAGACATTTCGTTTTCAAAACTCCGAGTTTCTGTTCCCAGGAGTCTTTAATTCTTGGCATGTTCCTGGCTAAGTACACATCAGAGTAGAGGAGAGTACAGCCAGCTCAACCAGTAGGGAAGAAGTCTTAAGTCCAGCGGGCTGGGTAGAGTAGATCATGATTCCGACATTTGAATGTAGAGTTGGAGTTGACTGTTAGAAGTTACCGCAAAACCTTGCTTTTAAAGTTTGCCTTGCCAATTTTGATCTGGTTGGTGGTTTGGAACATGTTTCCATATATTGGGAATAATCATCCCAACTGACTAATATTTTTCAGAGGTGTTGAAACCACCCACCAGTGATGCTTTGGAGAAAGTTAGTGTCTTCAGACTGCAGTTGAACTGCTGCATCCAGGGTGAGATTTGAATGTCAGAATTGCGCCAAGCCTTGTTTTTCGGGCAAACATGCGTCAGTGATCGGAGAGAAAGTAAGTTCGCTTGTGCGTCGTAGTCATCGCCGCTTTAGCGCGGAATCCTTTTCTAAATGCCACGCAGTGGAGCTGAGGTCTCAGGGGAACATTTCTATCTCGCTGTTCGGGCTGTGCTTTGCTATTGGACAGATGCGGAGCTACTTTGTGCATTAGAACAATTGCATCAAGGTTGCTAGTTCTTGAAGTTTGTCCTGCAATCCTATGGTGTTATGGAAGTGAGTGTCAGCAGATCGCAGTGGAGCTGCTGCATCTAGAATGAGATTTGAATCTAAGGAATTGCGCCAAACCTTGTTTTTTTTTTCGGGTCAGCGGACGTGGGGCTCTCGTGTGGGACGGGGTCGGGCATCGTCGCTTTAGCTTGGAATCCTCCTCCAAATGCGTGCGCGGTGGAACTGAGGTCTCAAGGTCACATGTCTATCTTGGTGCGCAGGCTGCGCTTTGTTAGTTTGCAGGTGCCGAGCTGCATCAATGTTGCTTGTTGTTGCTGTATGTCTTGCGATCCTATGGCGTTTTGCGGTTGCGTGCGTAGCTCTAGGGTCTTTGGCAAGTGGACGTCGTAAATCGTATTAGAGGCTCCATCAAGGTTGCGCTGGTGATATGTTTGGATGTGCTTTTTCTTTTTGGCGGCTTATTTCCCTTGTGAAAATTGTTTTATAAACTCCCTCAAGATCGTATTCTTTGTGCCTTGGTGCCGAGATGCAGTTTTGGAGCAACAATTTCTGTTGCCATTGCGCACTTTTTTGTCTTTTGCAATTCGGTGTCTGTAGATGGCAGTGGCGCGGCCGCATCAAGGTTCCTTGGTGATGTGGCTGTGTGTGTACTTCTACTGTCTTTTGCAATTGGGCAAGTTTCTGTTGCAGCTGCGCGCAGAGCTGAGAAGAGTTGAGATGAGCTGAGAAAAGTTGAAGGGGTGAGAAAAGGTGATAAGAAGTTGAGAAAAGAGTTGAGAAGGTGTGAAACATCACCGTAGTTCCTTTAAGCAAACTTGTTTTTCACTCCTATAATATCATAGTTTCCTATTGGAAACTTCCGCCGCCCGCCTTGTGCGCGCTTTACTTGTGTGAAATCTGATTTGGCTACATCCAATCATATTGGATTGCACATTGGCATGGGTGTGCGCATATATAATAACAATAGAGAGAGAGAGAGAGACATCCAATATACTACTTACACATTATTGAGAACTTATGCAATCTCCATGTCAACCATGTCAAGCAGTTGGGCGACTGACGCCGCTTTGCTTGCCATGGCCGCGCGCGTCGCCACACGAGCTGCCAGCTTTGGTGTCGGCGGAACCTTAGCTGCGGCTGATGTGCACGTAGAAAGGTCCGTCCATTTATGAGGGGATGATTTACATTAGCCATCATTAGCCTTTATCATCCTTTGCAAAATTTACGAAAATCATCTAGTCACAGCAAGAATTGTGGATGCTCGCGTCTAACTCCGACAGTTTTACTTGCTCAACTCGGCAAGGGCTTGCCTCATGTCTTTGAATTCCAGGCAAAATGCCAATTGAACCAACTCACTTTCCCTAGTCGCCGGACCTAGGAGCACCTGGTCTTCTGCTCAAAAGCTCTAGTTTGTAACTTGGCAGACCTTGGCTCATACACAACACATCCTCAATGGTTTGCCTCCGGCACAGTGAGCCGTGCTAGGACCATCAGTGTGATCTGATGGTCAGATTTAAAGATCATACCGTCATACCAGTCATACCCAGTGCGCAGGTCATGTCGACTATCTCCAAAGATCAAAACAGAAATGTAATGGAATGGATCCAAGAAGAGCTGTTGGCTGCTGGTTCCACCACTCAGGGATTGAATTGGGACCGTCGCTTCCTGCAAGGCAGCATCAACGACTTTCAAGAGTTGGCATTCCCTCAGGTGTTTAGGCATGTTTAGGCTAGTTTGGATCAACAATTCACTGAGATCATTGTTTAAAAACTCATAAAAACTCGTATGTAGATGGATATGGTCACATTGGTGCTCCTCTTCACTACCTTTGCCTTCCTAATAACATGATCGACGAAAAAGACGTTGCTCAGGTATTTTGGTTGGGACGACCGTGTCTTTCCTGCTTTTAGTCTGTTCCAACACTTTAACAAAGGTGTCATCCCAAACGAATTTCATGGCACTGAGAGGTTACTGAATTGAGATGTCAATCTAGAAAAAAACTCTTCCGTAAAACCTCTTCCCGTGTCTTTCCACGCCTTTGCCATCCCCCTTTTTGGGCCTGTCTTGAGGCATGGGGTGGGCGTCTTCGCTCAGAAGGCGTTTGCTTCGGGGGAAATCTTGGAGCGTTGTCCCTGTCTTTGGGTTGCGCTCCCTGGCGGATACGCTGGATACGGTGGATACGATGAGGGCACAAGAATTAGCCCATGCAGTTCCAAATATTCTACCCAGGTCCTGGATCATTTTTTGAAGTGAGACCAGGAACGATTGGACCCCCAATCACAAGTACTCTTGAAAGAGTGAGAAGACAGCAGGGGGGACTCTGGAATGGTCAAGTCAGTTTCTGCAAAATTCTGTGCCATCCTTCAATATGAATGGAATTAAATCGAAGGATGAATAGCTTTGTTGCGAGGAAGAATTCGATTCAGCCCAGTTCTTCAGTGAAGCTTGGAATGCAAGTGGGTTTGAGTCCGTTGCATGCAAAATGGCTCCAATGATTGTCAACAAGGTTGACATCCTTAGCCCAAAGCCAGGCTGCAAGCATGTCATGGTTTGGATAGCAAGTTTGATCTGTGTGCCTTGGATGCGTGATGTTAGTGAAAGTGCTCCAGAGCTTATCATACACATTCTCATCGGACGCGTGATCTGGTGATCTGCCCCTCCACGGTGAGCGCTGCCGCAGCACCTTGATGACACAAGAAACTGCAAGGCTTCATGGGACAGGTCCATCCATATGGATGTTTGATGATGTTTGCATTCTCCCGACATATCCTGACATGCTTGGCTGCCTGGTGTCGCAGAGGAATGCTGTTGATTTATTTGACTACCTCTTCGACCCAGGCATGGAACGACTGTATGAACTATGATGAACTATGGTCGATTCATCATGGATCATCATTTTTCCTGCCATCGGGCTGCTGACGTGAGGTGAAGTTGACAAGGAGACGGACCTGGTAGATGCTCACAGACAACCAGGGTTTTAGGGTCTCCTAGGTTCCTGGGTGTGCTTGGTTCTTTAGATGCAGCCTCGCATAGTCATTTTGAAGCAGAAATTGAGCGCTTGCTCATCAGAACAGTCTGCAGGACCGGTTGCTTCTTCCAATCGGTTTCGGCCCCAAACTCAGCATGACTCTTTGAAGAGAGTATATAGATTTGTGTGGCGGGATTGAATCACCAGGGCTTCCTTCAGATGCGACAGCATACCGACAGGATTTGTTTCTGTTGGCAGGTCATTCACTATTTCGATTTCCAAATACAAACCATATTTCGTTATACATGACGCCTATCTTTAGCCAGTATATTATAGAGATTTAACTACGCACATTACGTTTATATTGCGCATTTCTTGCCGCGAATCCTGCATTTACATACATTTACCTTTTTTTCCTATGTCCTTCAAATCTTACATGAACTTTTACACATATAATATCTCTTTTTTGCTCTTCGAAGCGCTTCTATTCTTGATATGGCGGCGGGCGGCCCCGCAGCTGTTCATAAGGATGACCCCTTGTTGCACTTCATGAGGGTCGTGCTCGCGAAATGTCCGAACCGGGAGTTTCAGACAGGTCGACTTGGTTTGGATGATCCTGATCGATTTTCTTGGCCTGCGTCGCCTTGTTTCACACCGATTTTTTTTTACCACACGTAGAGATGCGGCATTCTCAAGAGGTACTCCCCGAAGCACACTGGTGTTTCTTTCGCTACACGTCCTGCTCCTTCTCTGGTGCTTCCTCCGAACTTCCTCCTGATTGGCCCGCTTCGCCTGTTTACCTGTCATCTTTATATCTGGCGAAGAAACTTGGGAAACGTATCCTATTTCCCGTGCATTTATCAATTTTGTTTCTATCACACTTGTCTCCATCATTTTTTCTCCTCGAAGATTTTTTTCAAAACATGTCTCTGTCACACTTATCTCAGTCAAATTTATCTCGTTAAAACTGATCTTTATCATATTTATGGTTTCGAAACTTATCTCTATCAAACTTCTCTTTGGCAAACCTTTCTCCAACAAGTTTCTCTTTATCAAGAGTGCCTCTATCAAACTTATTTCCATCACACTTGTCTCCATCAAATTGATGTTTTAAACTTCTCTCTTTGAAACTTTTCTCTACAAAACTTATCTTTATCACACTTATCGTCACCAAAGTACGCTTATCTTCACTAAATCTTTGCAATTCATCTCTATATCACATTTATCTCTTTGAAATGTTTCTCTATCACACCTTTCCTCTGACAAGCTTGTCTATGCCAAGCTTGTCTCTATCAAACTTCTGAATTTAGAATTTGTATAGCAAACTTATCTCTATCGAACCTGTCTCCAACAAACTTAGCTGTTTCAATTTTGTCTTTGTCAAACTCATCTTTGTCAAACCTTTCTCCAGCAAACGTGCATATTTATTTTGTCTCTATCAAATTTGTTATACCAGTAGAGCCAGGGCAAGCCGGTTGGCGGAAATTTCCAAGAGGTGGGCAAGCGGTATAGAAAGCGGAAAGCCTATAGGAACGAAGCCAGAGCTGCTTGTTTCAACTTTCTTGCCATCTTATTCCCTTGACATCTTCTTCTGTTGGAAACTTTTTCAGTTGACGCCTCTCCCCCAGGGACATTCTTGCTTTCGGCAGCTCCTCTGGACAGTTCTGAAGCACGTGGACCTTTCGTTCTCTTGGCATCGGGTTCACTTGACAAGTCTTGAAACATCTTGTCCTTTGTATCCCTTTCTCTTGACATCTTGTTTTGAAACTTCTTTTCTGTTAAAATTGTTTTTTTCTCGACTCTTTGCCTTGACCCACATTTCCCTTGAGACCTTTCTGAAGCAATTCGACTGCGCTGGGCAAGCAATGGATTGCAGATCACGCTGGCACTGCACCAGCCACCACAGCAATCAAGAGCATTATTGACGTAGCCATCCCAAGTCCAATGCAAATTGCCAGGGTGAATCACCAAACACCTCAAATTGGCACAGCGCAGTCACTCATTGGCCTACCTGAAATTCAGTTCCGCAGCAAATAACGGCTTGCAACAGCTTACAAATCACAATGGAACTGCTTCACTTCTCTGCTGTCTTCACTTCTCTGTTACTTTACTTCTCTGCTCTCTTCACTCCTCTACCTTCTTCACTTCTCTTCTGTCTTCACTTCTTCCATCTTCACATTTTGTAATTTCCGCATCCCAGATTTCATGGTGCTTTAGACTTCTAAGCTTCCTTCGATCAAACTTGTCTATTAAACTTATCTCTACCTAACCTTTCCCCGACAAGCTTAGCTATATCAAACCTTGCTCCAATATACATCTACTCATCTACTTCACATTTGTCTGCAGCAAACTGAGCTATATCAAAGGTGTCTATATCAAATTTGTCTATTAAACTTATCTCTGTCGGTCTCCAACAAACTTATCTATATCAAACGTGCCTCCAGCAAACTTATCTATATCAAACTTGTCTCTAGCACATGTGTCTCTATAAAGCGCATCTCAATCAATCTTGCCACACCCAAATGGCAGAAGAGAAAACGCCGATGAAGTTTAGGAATGCTTCTTGGACGTGAGACACATGGATTGCTTAAAGAAAAAAGGAAAATGATGATAAACCATTGGGTGGAATGTGACGGCCTAGTTTCAGACAAACCCGCATCTGTCTTGTAGAGATTTGTTTGGCTTCCTTGTTCTCACTGGGTCTAGCCTGCAAAGCTGGCGGTATAGTCACTGACCAAGGTTTGTCTTACAACCACAGCGAGGAACCCAACGCCAGCTACAAGGCCTGGCCTTGAGGTTCTGATAGTCCTGGTTTTCTGACGGCAAAATGTCTGATGCGTTGCTTCATCTAAACAGGGTACTCATGACCCCTTACCAACGCTAACTATGAGACCATGAGGTTTAAGCTGGATTGAGACCAGGTGCAATTTAGATCGGCTTAAGTTTTACAATCATTTCATTTATAATTTATAATTTATAATCATTTAATCTCCGTCTCCCCATCTTGACAGCACGGTTCGTGATTTGCCAAGGTGTTCCTGGAGGATCCTCCACAGCTGGTCTTCAGAGCTACACGAGATATCTCCTTTGGAGAGGCACTGCTGCCATCCGTGCCGCCGCCGGGAATGAGAGGGTGCCACGGGTATTGAACCAAAAAGTTGCAACTCAAAAACGATCACTTTTTTCATTCTCCACCTGTAGTTTTGCGCAGACCACATGGTTTGCCCGAAGACAGAATGGCGTAAAAACCCATGAATTTCGAACGGCCTCTCACAAAACAGATGAAATTGTGTTGACAAGGCCAGCATTGCATTGCAGCTTGTAAAGAGAACGGCACCACTGTCAGGGCGTCTTTCAAGATCGACATAAGATGTAAAACCCCCCACCTGCGTGGAACAGTTAGCCATACCGCAACCAGAAGAAAGAAAGCTTCCCACCTGGATGGAATAGGATTTTTCTTCACGTTTACACGAGATAAAAAGCCTCCCACACGCATGGAACCGTTGACATTACTGCAAGTAGGGATTCTTTGAGGGTTTAGACAAGATAAAAGTTTCCCATCCGCATGGAACAACAAACCATACTGCAATTCAGATTTCATGTAACATTTACTGAAGATAGACAATGTCCCGCCGACATCGAACAATTAACCATACCGCAATTACGGTTTCCTTCCCGCTTTACATGAGATACAAGACCTCCCGCCCCATGGAACGAGTAACCATGCCTGCACGCCCGCCGGGAGCCCCGGGCAACCGATAAAGTATTGCCGTATAGCCGGTACACCACGTTTGGTTTGCAAACATACAAAAGTACAGAAGCGAAAGATCATGTTGTCAAATTCGATTCCGGCTATTCTGGCTATCCCCGTGTTCACAAATGCTGGGTGCCCGTGATGGTGAGCGCATCTTTGGATTCGGACTTGAAATCCCTTTTCTGGTTTCATTCAAAATTCGATGCCTCCAGCTGCCTCCAACCCTGATGCTAACCGCAGGAAGTGCTCATCGACTATGGTGAAGCATCTAGCCAATGGCAGGGGGGAGATTCTTTTGAAACAATGACATCCACAGAAGGGTTGCGAGCTCCAATAGATTTCTACATGGCTGGGTTTTCCCATGAAAAGCTCAAGGTCTGGTTTGGCATGTTGTGTGTTTGATCGTGTTTACATCCCCCCCCCTTTAACCCTGGAATATTTGGGGGGGGGTAAGGCAAGAAATTTCTGAGAAATATTTCACCTGACCACGTGAAATATACCCCCCTCCCCACGTATTTTTTTGGGCTTCTAAAAGACGTGGGGGGGGGGGTTCCTCCAGATGCCACATTTTAATCCCTGTGTACATTTCCACTATGAAATGGCTTGACCCATGTTCCATTCCAGGGTCATTTTTCTAACAAAAGGAGGCATTTTGTAAGGACATTTTTCTGGTCAACCATGCCATTTTGTAAAAAGCATGTTTTTTGCTGGGCGAATCATTTTGTAAGAGCCAATTTTCTTTACAAAATGAACTCGGGGCCAATCATTTCATAACGCAATTTTGGGTTCATTTCAGGCAGTGTAAAAAAGGGTATTGAAATCTTGGCCATGTCCAGGAATCAGGGTTTCTTCTCTATTTCTTTTTGGGGTTCCATCATTGATGTGTGAAGAACCGGCAAGACACCACTAAGTCAACCAACCAGAAAAGGTGATATCAAACTTTTTGGTATTTTTTCCAAAACTGGGACATTTTTCTGCATCTGCACGGTGCCAATCTTCAGCTGTTTTGGCTTTTTTCCCCACTGCGCAACTAGCATGGCGGCGCGTGAGCCACCACCAGGTTACCCTTCAACATGCGGGGTAGGCATGTGTGTCCATGATGTGCCCAAGCCAGTATGGAATTCACAGCGTCAGTGCTGGCGCTTCTCGGTAGGTCGAAAGGGCTGTGGTGCTGCAAGTTTGGAAATAGATGGTAATAACTGCTGGCATGAGTTGATATCTCCATTGGATCAGGGCAGCTTGATGTTCATGTTTGCCTGATGGTTTGAAACCAGTTTTCTTACAAAATGGCTTGGGGCTTGGGGCTAAAGGGGTTACTGCCCAGAGAAGTTCAGGGTGTCACAAACTATGCTACAAAATGGTTTGGTTGAAAAACATGTATGCATATGTATGCATTTATACGCATTTATAATCATTTATTTGCATTTATATTTATGCATTTATTTCTTCATCTTGTTCCAAACATTTCCAAACAAGATCAAACAAGTAGACGATACTGGGGCCATGTATTTGCAGACGGCAGCCAACGCAAATTGTAAGAATGTATGCGTCCCCGTTCTCATCCTTCTTTTGTCAGAGCCTTGCCGCCGCTGGTGACATCTGAGTTTCGCGCTGTTCTTTGGAGACGATGACTCAAGCTGTCAAAACGAGGCTCAGCAATCATCACTGCTACTATGATGAGAGCCTTATCTGCAGTCGGTGCTGAGGGAGACTGTTGAATTGTTGCAGGATTTGTGTGGATTTATGGGATCTGATGTAGATGTGAGAGTCCCGCAGTGAAGGTTACAGAATGCACTGCTTTGCTGTAGGCCAAAGGGTTGGCATAGACTGTACCAGTTGAATTCTTTATTTGTGCTTGTATCATGTCAGACAGTGTCATACCATTCATCTTGTAAGATTTGCAGCTGCCAACGCGATGCAGTCCCTCTTAATTTTTTTTCTAGACTAGATCCGCTTGCCCCCCCGTGACCTGTATCAGGGACACCTCTCTGTGGCAGTGGACGCATGTGATCTCCAAGTCGAGGCCAGTACTAAAAGAGCCTTGACTGCACAGCTTCTGCACGGGGCAGATCGGAAATGCTAATTTCAAGTAACTTTATGAAAATATACATGTAGAAACATTTAGATACACTTGAATACAGTTAATCATTCAGAAATAACTAGATATATCTAGATGAATTGAAACAAACCACTTTTTTTATTTGACAGAAACATAGATGCATATAGATTCATAAAGCAATCAAAAGTTTCAATGTCTGAAGTAGCCATCACCATCAGTCAGTGCAATGGGGCAGAAGTTTGTCTCGATTGTAAAGAAGTCTTTACAAAATGGTATGTTTTCTTTGGGAATGTGGTTTTCGAAACAGATCCCAAGGCCACTCATTCTGGAGATGCAATCTGGGATAGATTAGGCACAATTATTGACTCGCATGTCATCACACCAAGCGCAGTGGTCTTCCGGGATTGTCCTGCTTGAGGGTTTGGATGAACATTGTTGTCTTTAATTCCCTCAATTTGTTTGTTGCCTGGGCGAATTTTATTTCATTTAATCTGTAGCATTTGGCTGAACCATTTGTGAAGACGAGCAAGCAGTTGGCACCTTGGCCTAGTGTGGCATGGTGCGCTTGTTTCTGAGCCTGAGCTTTCTCGGGGCGCTGCTGGCAGCTGCTGTCAAGCTCCCTCCGCTCTCAGATGACACCACATGTTTGAGCGGTGAAGAGTCGCCCTTGGCATGCATTTTGGAAGTGGTTTGGGATGCCTCGGGAATGTCTCAGGGGTGTAGATATGCTTTTTAAATGGGCTTACACATGCTTACAAAATGATTGGTTTTGCGCATCTATGGTTGCATCGGTATCTATCTATACATGTCTACACATGTTTATTTTCATTTTTATATTCAAATATGCAGAGATATTTGCCGAACCCCTTCAGTTTGTAAAGAAAACAAAGTCAAGCTCAGGTGGTTCGCAGCAGACAAGGCTTACAATAGCTTGCATGCCTATGCGGCTGGTTTGTCCGAGTTCCCATTGTACCATGTTGTGGATATTTTTGGTGGAAGCCAGCGGGTTGCCCAAGCATGGCGCAGAGAGGGAATGTCAGGGATCTCTTTTGACGTCAAGTTGAGCCGCTCTCACGACTTGACATCAGAGGATGGATGCAGGTCCCTGCTTCGATATCTGATGAGGCCTCCTGTTTCACAATGCACACATGCATACAAACATTTGCACCACATTGGCACACAGAAGTATATATGTGTACACATATTTGGTTGTGGGTGCATGTCCCCCCTAGATCCATTCTAGATCCCCCTAGTAGATCTTAGATGATCTTAGTAGATCTTAGTGGTAGGCAGGAGTTATGATGAGTTATGTTTGTCCTCAGCATTCCGGAACCATCGAAAACCAGTGTTTAGCTTGCAGGCTCTTCACAAACGGTGTGGCTATCGCCGCACCACCATGTTCTCTCTACAGCTGTGCTTGTGCCTCCGTCCACAAGCGGACAAAGGAGAATGTTCGCGGTGACTTGGGAAACTGGAAGGTGAGGTTGGCCCGGGTCATATGGACCAACTGGGTTGCTTGAATTCAACGAGACATTTAACAATAAATTATTTGTTTGCAGGCCTGCTGGGATTTCAAGTGATGTTGATTTTGTATGATTTTGTATGATTTTGATTGATTTTGTATGATTTTGTGCGCAATTTCTTCCACAGGGACCCAAAATGAGCCTCCCAGAATACAAAATGGCTTGTTCAAGTCAGAGGCTTACAAAATGGCTTGGGGATGCTTGGAGCCATGAGAGAATACTCCACTCGCCCAGGTTACATGTATGAAAATACTCCACTCGCTGCGACCAGATGTTTGGCTGATTTGCGAGCAGCCAAGCACATCATGGGGCTTTTGCCAACCGGAGTTCGTGCAGCTGGCAGAACTGATGGGGATGTTCCTTACATTCAAATACATTCAATTCATATATCATTTAGATCAATTGATCAATTTATATCAATTTATTTGAACTTATGTGAATTTATACGAATTCAGCTGAAGCACATATGCACAGGGGTCCACACTTCTCCTCTACGTTGCGCTCGCTGAGGGCGTGCACTTTAACGTACCTGGGCATGTTTGGCCATGATTTGGCCAAACCCACCAAGATTTATTCTAACATGAGGACTTGCGGGAATGGAGGGATGCAACTGGGAGGTACATGCAGCAATACTGCTGCTCTGTCATTGAAATTTGATTTGAATGCAATGTAATTAAAAGCTTGTGAAGACCTGTGTAGATCCCTTTGTGGATGAACGTGGTCATGAGTTTCGGTCCCTGGGAATGACAGGACAGTGCAGAGTGTTCGCCGCACACTAACCAAGTGCAACCGCCTCCGAATCAAGGCCTATGTTCTTGGCACCCTGGACAACCCCCTGCCTGCTCCAACTTGAACCAGTTTCCACATGTTTCCGCCAACATGTTGTTTTTTTTTAGCAGGAAAGGCATGTGAAACAAGTGGGTCCTGCAATATTGATCAATATTGGGTATGACATCGTGCATGCAGGCGAGGTTTGCACGCCGGCAAGCCAAGCGTCGTCGGCCTTTGGAAGCTTGACTAGAGATTTGGGTTCCAGGGATTCAAATTGTATGCACGAATATACACGACCCAAAGATATTTTCAGAGGTGTTTATGAATTTGTTCTTACTTCCAAGGTGGCTTCCATGTGTGTCCATTTGTGGTTATTTCATGTTAACTCTAGGCTAAAATGTCTGTTACAAAATGCCATGGGGCCAGCGGACGCTGTCCGCCACTCAGGAGTACCACAAGCAGATAACCACCAAGTCCGGAAAGCGAGGATGGCAAGGAGGACGTGATCTGTGGAAGTCGGCGATTTACCCGCGCAAATTTTGCGCTACAATGGTGACATGCTGGCTCCAAGCCTGTGTGAACCGCAGGAATGGACGGCCAATAGTGGTGTAGCGGCAGCTTGTGCAGACACAACTGCTGGATTGTTGCGCCAAGATGCATTCCTGTGTGGAACTTTTCCTTTTCATGTTGTAGATTCAATGAACTACAGTCAGTGAGATGTTTCTAGGCCTGATTCGGGCGTGTGCAGCAGGCTGATGAATGAATCAGTTCTGCATGCAAGGGCTTAGAAGCGATGTGTGGATGAGCCGTGGGAAGACAAAATGGACCCAGAATCTAGAGTCAGGCCACTTTGTAGGGAGTGCATTGGGGGACGCTGTGATAATTTCAATTATTTTCAGTGTTTTGCGTGG